TCGGAGAGCAGTACGGAAGATCACCTCGACCGTTACCGCATCGCCGCTCTTGAAAATGTCTGCCGCAGTTGTAGACGAAACATCGACTGTAATCTCGGTACCACGGCTCAAAAGCCCGGAAATTTTAAAAAGATTATTTGGCGTTTAACTATTAAAATTATAGAACGTTTGGCCTAAGATTTGGTTTTACAGAAGAGTCTTGTAGTATTTTGCATTAGCGGTTTAGGTGCCTTAGAGTAATTTTGGAAGTATTGACTACGACTTGATGGGTAAGGTATACCTAGACGCTCTTTAGACCACGATAAAAATGTTTTTAGGGCAAGATGTGTATATAAATGTCTTTTAATAACTTTTGCGTTCATCTGTTCATGGTTATCAACAACACCAAAGAAAATTTAGGATGTATACTACTTTATCATAAAATTGGTTGGGTGATTCATTAGGTTGCTGCCGTAGCATAACGAAAGCACGGTTCACGGTTGGGGCAGGCCTCGTCACGTAGATCCACGAAATTTCTTACAAGAGTGATTTTGAGATCTTCCCAAGTCGATATGTTCTGGATATTTATTACTATTTTGGCTGTGCCAACTAATTTTCCAATAAGACAATTAATTAGATAAACATTTTCAAATTTATTTGGATTGGAGGAATTGATGAAGGTAAGTGCGCGGTGTTGTTTCTACTCGATTATTCTAAGGCTTTTGATACCATTAGTCACAATATTCTACTCACTATTCTTAAATACTTAGGTTTTGGGGAGGCATCCGTAAATTCAATTAAAAACTATTTAACAGGGAGAAAGCAAAAGGTGGTCCGGAACGGGGTCGAGTCTGCTTGCCTAGACATAAGAAGTGGAGTTCCTCAAGGCTCAATTTTAGCTCCTGTTCTCTTTATTATTTTCACAACAAAATTCTTAGATTTTCTCAAACATTGCAAAGGACAATCATATGCTGATGGCAAGCAGCTCTACCATGTTGTTGGCCCCTCTAGGTTGCAGCTTGAGTGCCCAAATATCAACAGTGACCTTGAACGAATTGACAGAATTTCCAGAGATCACGGTTTGCTTTTAAACCCAAAAAAATCTTTTGTAATGTTTTTTGGTCGGCCGGTGGATGTTAAGCGTCTTGCTTCTGAAGTAATCATAAAAATAAACAATATCACTCTTCCTTTTCAAATCGAGGCAAAAATTTTGGGATTACTTTTAGATACAAAACTTCGCTTTGAAAAGCATATTTCGACTTGTACGCAAAGGGCTATTGGCCGTTTAAAAGGGTTGTATAGCTCAAGGCATATTCTAACTCGAAATCTTAAAAAAACCTTATGCGATGCTCTTGTTCTCTCCGTCTTTAATCACTGTAATGTCGTATATGGGCCTTGTTTGACAGCTAATTCGTCACAAAGTATTGAAAAAATTCAAAAATGCTGCTTGAGGTCAGCTACAAGTTGAAGGAAGCGGGTTGGACAAACATGAAGACGCGGCGCTTAATCCATCTTTATTTCAAAATAATTAAGACAAAATATCTGGAATACCTCTCCGAAAAAATAACTTTTAGAACAGACGTGAATAACTTAAATCCAAGTTTTAAAGGGGCATAGTTCCTCGTCACCGATCTAGTATATTTGAAAGATCTTTCAGTTACGACTTGGCTAAACTATATAATGACCTGCCCCATTCCGTTCAGAATGCGACAATAAATTCTTTTGCAAATAAACTAAAAACGTGGTTATGTTCTAGAATTTAAAGAGAAAAAAAAATGAAAAAAACATTGAGAAGTTACAGAGCGCAGGAAGAATCAAACCAATGTGCACTGCTAGAATTCTTTAAAAATTTGTGGTCCTTACAGTACTTTAGCCTCGACTTTAGCTAATAGTTTTTTTATTTACAAAGGTAGGTTTAGGTTTTTCATTCTGTTATATAATTAAGTGGGTACTTAACGCAATTGTAAACATTAATTAAAACCATGGTGTGATGTTATGTGTAAGGATAAGTGTAGAAATCAGCAAGCAGATACGTCTGGGCGCTGCACTGTTGCCTTTTCTTGTAATTTTTCTTGTCGAAATTACTTGAATAAAGTATATTATTATTATTATTATTATTATTATTATTAGTTTGATCATAAAAAGCACTCATAAGGCTAGCAAGTAGCATTTAAGTCATTAGCATTCCCATCGAAAGTAGGTACACAGTTTACATATTCGGGTTTAAAATTGTCAGCCAAGTCTGTATATAAATTATTTCTTATGCTGTTCTCGGTAGAAATATTTTGATTACTAATAATATCTGAATCAGTTGAAATGATTTTTACATCAGATAAAATAGCGGCTAACCCTTCTACGGACATTAAAAATTGCACTTGGATAAAAAAAATTGCGACTCTGGTCATTTTCTATAAGGGACAGACTCTCAAGTTGGCGATGTGGTACTACCGAATTTCTGCCTGCTTGCGAAACCAAAACGATTTGAGAACCAACTACTGATGAGCTGCTAATGAAACGTCTCCGACAAGTTTTCGATAAATCTTCTTAAACACCTCCACCAGCAAGTTCCGATATTCCGATAAATCGTAAATACGAGAAGTCTACCAATCGATTTAACAAACTTCGAAATATCCTACCGACTATGCCACTTTTCTAACGCTTTTTGAAAACATTATGTTTCCAAAATACAAAAATTAATAGTTTACGGCAAGAGAGTATTCAACTGACTAACTAACAAATAAGCGAAAAAACAGTTATATGTGATCAAAAATTGACGCGGCAAAATCTAGCTGACCATCTTCTTTCTATGGGTGTAGGGATTGCTCGTGGCATAATTCATATTAGCAATTAAACGTTTTTCCATTGTAAAAATCTTATATGACTTTCATGTTTTACTGACTTTCTGTAAATTACGAAGATAATTTCGTAACTTAAATACTAAAATTATTCAACATTAAAACGCAGTGTCACATAGTCATAATAACGATTTCTGGCTTAGTCGCTCATAGTTTACCAAATCAATTAAACATACATTTTTGTTACAATGGATATAGAGTAATATGTGTTTTTACCATTACTTTACTGAAGAAAATATAGTTGAAAATGTAGCTATTATTATCATTTTACTTCAAGTTAAGCGATAATGAATATGGGTATGGTACGATGTTAGAAGGGTTTTGGATTGGAGTTTTGGTTGTTGGGATAACTTTCTGAGAGGTTGACAATGACAATTCGAATAAACTCGAAGAAATTTAGCTCCCCATATACACCGAAATAAAAGGAATTATCTAATTGGTGTTTTCCAAGAAAAAAGACCATTTTTTGTCTTATGGTAATCTAAATTGATAATATGTGAACGATGAGAACTCTAACATTAATGACAACCTTTGAGGACCACTTGCAAAAGTGTGCCTAAATCAAATGGGTCACTTACCTGTAAAATTAATCCAATTGCAAATAAACTGCAATCCAAGACCATGTTCAGTGTTAGCTTCCTGTCGTAGTAGCCTTGGCTTCTGCTCTCACTCAACTTTTCAGTCAGGGCTTTGATGTGCACTCCATAATTATCATCTTCATTGTCGATCACGTCGGAATTTTTAAACGCTTTGAAGTCATATATAATTTCATTTATTGAACAATGCATCGGATTGTCCAAGCCAAATAATTTGCACCTGCCTCTCGAAATGTCCAATAACAAAGGAGCATCGCTTCCGTGGGATGCTGCATCACTAACAAATCCGATGCAACTTTTGCAGTGTTTTAGGATGACATTGTTAGTAATGAAAAACGAATGGCAATCGGTAGTGAATTTTCTGAAACCTTCCAGCAAACCTGGATTGCCCTTTTTCAATGTGTTGGGAACAAAAATTAAAACATTTTGTTTCATGTTCTTCAGTGCTGAAATGGTTAACCATAAACCAATTCAGTGGGTTGACTGTCAAACTGTGGATAACCAATACCAACTACTTTAATCTGACTTTTGTCTAAACAGATTCTACATACTATATTAAATTTTAAACACGCAATGAACGACGTTAAAGGTTAAGTCCATTCTAAATTCTTCTTCCCAAACGTCCATTTAAATATTGGTAGGACCAGTTGGCAGTTCCGCATATCTAGGAGGATTAATGAATTGCTCAAGATTTGTTTTATAGTCTTCACCGTTTTGAGAAATGTAGTAAATCCGCTAATCGCGCTTACATTTTTTTCGAAGGAGGAAAAGCAACAAACGATAAAACAGCAAAGAAAAGTTACACCCTGCTAGATGTATCATGTTTGTGTATTAACATCCACCAATATGGTCCAACATTTTTTAAAAGACTATCTGGTGTTATTAGAATTCTTTAAATAAAAACAACAAAGACTATCTGATGTTATTAGAATTCTTCATATAAAAACATTTATAAAAATTACACTTATCTATTAAAAAAAGCTTTCTATTAAATACAAAAGTTTTTGAATAATACACTGGAGTTAGTTGAATTATACATTATTTCCGACCAATGTAATGTAATGTAATTGTAATGTGCTCAGGCTCTAGGCGAAATATCATATGTTCTTATCTTAATTTTTTTAAATTGTTTTTGACTTTTTATTTTAATCATTTTTGCAAAAATTGGAAACAATTTCAAATTGCAACAAATGTGGCAAACAAAATTGTCAGCTTTTTTTCAAGAATTTTTTCGTGTAGATTCATAGGTTTGACTTCTATGAAACATGTAAATAAATTTAAAATCACGAAAGATTACCTCAAAGGTGAAAACAAAACCACGTAGGAGACTAAATATCGCACCGGAAAAATTGTAGAAATATTCAAAAAATAGTTGTAGAAGTTCCTACAAAAGGCCTACGTGTAAAAACCCATTGCTTTTATCGTCACAATGTTTCCAGAAGTAAGGTATAGATAGATCAAGTTGTAAGGCCTTAAAACTATTTCTAAAAGTCTTTGATGAAAATGGCGATTTTGGCAGTCATAGATGCAAACAGACCTAGTCATATACCGTGGTGTTTTCACTGACCTTACAATTCCGTGATTGATTTAGTTTTGCGTTTTTAGATTTTTGACAGTTATATTGTCCCTGTAAATATAATTTTAACACTAAATTAAAATTGATTAATTAAATAACTATTTTACTATTGTACTAAGTACAAAATGCCGAACTCGACATTGAAATCCAAGCGATCACATTGTAGTACCAAAGAAAAAGATGCACCTAACAATAACATAATGCAACTAGGTAAAAATTTTCTTAATATTTGTTGGCCTGTTTTTTGATTATGGTTTCAGAGTTGACTGCATTGAGGGAAAAGAACTTCGACTTGACAAAAATGAATACCAGACTGCTTCAGCAAGTCGTAGATTTGAAAAATAAGTTGTGTTCATTACAAGCTGAAAACCTGCAAATATATCAAGAAAACAAAGTGAGTTTTGGATAATGTTCATGAATAAATGTTGCAAAAAGGGCCTAGTTAGCTAGTAATTATGTGATTTTTGTAGAATTTATCAACAATAATGGCGAAGGTATCCCAAACTACAAGATCTTGCCTGCCCAATTTACTGGAATTTTTAAATGCTGTTTTACATGTTACTGAAAATAGTCAAACTTGCCAAAGTGGAAAAGTCAAAAATATGTCAGGTGTAGGTAAGTATTGCACTCTTTATTAAAGTAATTTAGTTTACAATTTTATGTCTTAAGAAATCCTCGAAAAAATACTCTTTAATGTACCAGAACAAGGTGAAGATGGTAATTGTCACTACTAAATTGAGCCGTTTAGCTTTACTAACAAATACAAAAATTAAAATAAAATAATCTGTATTGCATGAAAAAGTTAGACTATTGCAACAAAATATTGTATGCGAAGGTGGAGAGTACCACTAAAATTTAAAAAATCGATCACAACCAGAAAATACAATTTTTAAAACACTCTGGTCAGATGTGCACCTAGTGTGCAGCACTTCTTTGAAACATGCCAAATATATATAATCTCTGAGCTATCGTATGCCCAAAAATTTCTATACCATGATGATTTACATCTACATAAGATTAACTTTATTTTGCAGAATATTAAATATGGACAGGTCAGTATCCATTTTCAAAAACCAATTTGCTTGCATTTTGGCAGAATTTATTACAAGAGAATTTTTTTAAGCCCAGGCTGATGTATTTTGCGGTATTATACCAGCCAATGAGAGAAATTATACGCTTTGATATTTTACTACCTTTTCAAGTATTTTTAAGGCAGCAGGAAGAATGCTTATTGGTCTCAATTTGTTCAAGCTCGAGGGCATTTCAACTTTGGGCAAGGGGGTATAAAAAAGTGTTTTCATGTTCTCAGATTCTAGTAGTTTTTATTTAATGTGTCTTCTTTTTCTGCAAACTAAAATTTATACTAAAACTGAAATGTTGCAGCTACACCCAATAGGACTGTCACACATACCGTAAAACCGCACACTGTTAACGGAACCGTCCTCAACCTTATGCCAATAATTTCTTTGACAAGACTCCACAACAGTGCACCAGCAACTTCGTCTCTTAGTGCTCATAATCCCAATTTAGACAAAACCGCCCTTGAGGACAAAGGAGAAATGAATATTGGTGAACATTTGTCAGTTAATAACGTAAGTGGTCAGTTACCTGTCAATGCAATAGTGTGGCAGTAAAATTATTTAGCATGATTGAAAAAAAAGTTAACAAGTGTTGAATAATATTGAATGTTGAATGTATTGAATGTTGAATATATTTTAAATACCAATAGTTCACTATATGTCTGATGTTTCGATTGATACTATTTGCTTTAAGAAACTTGTGTCAGAAATTCTGACATGTTTTTCACAAATTCACCCTGTTTTTCAGAAATTCTGTCTTATTCTTTAAGAATTTTTCTTATTAAACCAAAACCCATATTGCAATATTGGTGCCTATTCAGCGCTTTCATTATTAGCTAACAATATGACTGCAAGTATTCGATTTAAGCGGTTGTGTTGTTTTTATTATTCAGCCTGAAGAGGAAACCAGTTTTGTGACAATGACTCGCAGAACAAAATCAGCTAGCGCCGACTTGAACAAGAACGGTTAGTTTTACAAAATTGGACGTTTTCGATAGCTTTGTAATATAAAATCTTTGTTTTCTGCAGAACCAGTTGATTTAGATGATGAAAACGGTGATGAAGCCATTAATTACAGTTTTATGGAAGAGCGGATGGTTTCGTAAGTTCTTTTATCTCCTGGTGTAGTAATGAACTTTACTTCATGCCTCACTTGAAGGCGGTGAATTTTATCCAAAAGATATCTCAGACGTAAATGGTAGATCATTAATTGGTCTACAAAAATAGTTCTTATAGTTTTTCTCTAGTACTCGCTAGATTTGCCATTCTAACTTATTTTGCATACATGTCTTATGTACCGGGTTTCCCAGTAAGGCAACGAGTTATAGTGTCCAAAATATTTGAAAAAAAAATACATCAGACATGCTGAGAATCGTTTTTATCGAGTCGTAATTGAATATTGAATTTTAAAACTAGGTTTTTATATAAATTTTAAATAATATATTATTTAATATTATGGTTAATATTTAATTTAATATGGTTAATATTATATATGTTTTTACTTTTACTATTTTATGGCTGACAAAAATTGAATTGATTAATTTTTCAAAGAAATTTCCACAGTAATACTATTTGTAGATTCCTCCTGTGTCAGTTGCATAGAGATATTAAGTGTTCCATCACAAAATACATTTCACCACAACCTTCTAAAGACAATAAGTCCAAAAGCAACTCCAAACTTGCCACTGTTGTTCTTCAAAACATCACTGACCACATATCAAAAGTTCTTAGAAATATAACCTTAAAACCAGATTTATCACTTGCCCAAAAATCTCATCACATTTTCGATCACAAAATTGCATTTGGGATATCAAGAGCTTACAACATTCCATACATACGCGGCACAGAATTGGAGAGACAGGACGAAAAATATCAACTAGGCTCAAAGGCTATGACAAATAAACTCATGAGTAGTTGCCGAACACAATCATGAAACCGGACATAACATTTTCTTTAAAGAAACTAAAATTCTGCATGTAATCAATTGTTTTAGCAACAAAAAATTCGAGCATCAATAGAAATCTGTAAGCAACCAAGCCGTAGGTCTTTACCCTTCACCAATATGGGGATCAGTCATCCTAGACAGATGTTTGTTTGCTCCGCCCCCTCAAACAATGCATAAGCATGTACAGAGTAGAGTGCGAAGCAGTTTCAGTTAAGCTCTGAAGAATACAATAGAATGATTGACGAAACGTCAGCAAATTTGATTTATATACAACCGTCGCGGAGGTATCCAGGAGATTTCTAGATAGTAATTGAAATGATTATTGTTTAATGCTCTCTCTAATCTCTGCAAGGAAAGTGTCTCGCTATGTGTGAAGCGATTGCGATTGCTTATATTGCCATAAGGTAGCTTTTTCTGACGTAATTACATAAAAAAATAATTTTCTGAAAAAAGAATAGATGGATGCTTGACTTTTTTCATCATAATTTAGTCAAATAAAGACCCATCCACCGAAATTTCAAAGAAATCACTAATTTATTACCTAGAATGCCAAATGATATTTAAAATAATAATACAATTTTGTTTGTTTTCGCATAAAATTACCAAGCAGCTGACGTTACTACGTTTTGACATGTTTAGCCGTTTTTAATTTAATATTATCACTAATTTTTTCATTTATAGGTTTATTCACCTGCCCAACACTAATAATATTTATTGAATTATTTAAGTAGGAAAATGTGTATTGCAATAATCAGTATTTTTCGTCCTTCCTAACGCGTCGATTTCTCCTAGGCTCTACATTACAATAAGTTTAAATAAGACATTTTTAATCTGATAAACATTTAGCAGACAAAGTAATGTAAGTAACCAAGCATCAAATAATGACATGAAACATGCATAGTGTTTGGCCATATAACATATAATAATAATAATGTTTATTTTAGCAAAGGGTAAGCAACCAAGCAACAAATAATGACATGAAACATGCATAGTGTTTGGCCAGATAACATATAATAATAATAATGTTTATTTCAGCAATTAGATAATACATTCCAAAAATATATCAAATACACAATGAATTTAAGAAATTTGTGCGTGCATTTGTTCAGTCCAATGCAACTTACTAGTTATGGCTAAGTTCATTTTTCAAATTTGTTTTGATGACAATCTTGATAAATAGAAATGAATTTTTTCTGATAAAAGAGATGTTTTATTAATTTTTAAATAGTTTTCCACAGTGTATTGCTTAAATGCGTCAAGAGTCAAATTTTAAAATATAAGTGATTATACTAAATATTTGAAAAGGTCTAAGCATATCAGAACGTAGTAAAGTCAGCTATGGGGTAATTTGGTGCCCTTCCAAGGCATTGTAAAGAAGTAATAAAGATAAATGATAACATTTTATTTTGATCTTAAATATTAGTTGCCATCCTAACCAATAAATTAACGCTTTATTTGGTAAATTTGAAATTATTAGACATTAATAACAAACCGTAAAGTGGAACGTAACTTTTTTCTAATTCATTCGTGCATGGAAATATGGATATTTATTTAAGAAAACATTATGAACACCTCCTACCACTTTCCTTGTAGAGATAGAGCAAACACCATTAAACATGGTTTAGAACGACATTTTTTTTCATCATTGGTTCAAACCACAAACAAACAAACGGTAACTACTTCGACTTTAAAATCGCAATAACTTAGGAAGTGTATTCAATAAAAAAAAGTATAGATTTGATAATGTACAATATATAACTGAAATATTTTTTAGGTAAAACTTACCATTTTCGAGAAATAAATGTAGAATTGCTATAACTTGAATCCTAGTAAAAAAATATAAGCACCATTTTTATACACGATTTTATTTAACTAGCCGGTTTTGAGAAAAATCCACAATTCATAAATGTTTTACTTTCGACCTTGAATAACTGTTTTAGCACACATTGGATCGATGAGGGCTTTGTCACTTCATTTCTGGTGGTGCACCCACCGCCAAAATCCAACTCTGTCGGAATTTCTTTTCTTTATTTCCTTTTTTTTTATGAATTGATGGTGATGGTCATGCTCATTGAGGGATTCTTTTTTTACAAACGGTGTTGTAAAGGGTATCTCATTAATATCTTACAATTTTCTTATTTAAAAATGCAACAGCCGGTATATTATGTCATTATTTGTTTTTGAAATAAAAAATAATACTTTTTTTTTATATTTTTTAGCGCATTTCTGTAGTAAGAAATAAAATTATGTAGTGACAACTTTTAACTTTAAAGCATAACAGAGAGATATTTTAATGTTGGTTGCAAAAATTCGAAAGTGAAGAACTAGAAACGAAAAAAAAATGAAAATTATTTTTTGTAGGTTTGTATTCTTCAATTTTTTAATAATGCTTAATGAAAATTCTAAATTGTATATACTGAAATAAATTTATGGATTCTTTTTCTACAAGATACACATTGTGGCAAATTAAAATAATATGGATGATGATGTAAATGTAAATTCACACATACACATACAAATGTAAAAAAAAACTAAATATCAGCACAATAAAAAAACAATGTACACGGGATTCATAAAATTCAGTTTAATTATTTCTTTAATTATTATTCCTAAATATAGAGTGATTTTTACTTTTGGCTGGTAAGTGAGGCTTTTTCATGATGAATTTCAATTAGAGGAAAATAATGCATAGATGCACGGCAAAAAGAATAATCGTGTGAAAAAGTCATTCATATATACTAGAAAGAATAACGCACCGAAAATTAAGCCTTGCAGTACTCCATATTTTAGTTTCTTAACGATTTGAATGTTCATTATTAAAAATAAATTAGTTGATACTTATTTTTCAGATAACTTTTGAGAAGTTTTAAGGGCTTATGCTATCGTGTGCTATTTTCGTGGCAAACTAAAAACGGTTTTGTGACTTTTAAGACAGGAATTTGGCAGTCGCAGTAAATTTTCGTTTCAACAAATATTTAAACAATTTTTGGAGTAAAAAGATGGGAATATCGATATATAAAGGATCATAGCAATGCTTTTGAAATTCCTAATGAGAAATGTATTAACTTTCGGCTAAACAGAGGTCGCCAGAAATTTTATAGCTGTAATATACATTTATATAAGCTGCTCTTGATTTGCAGGTGAATAAAAAACGGTAAAAGTATAATTATGACATTATTTCATTAATTTATGGATCCTAGTGGTTATCTGATTATACCAGGTGAACATTTAAATTTAACAATTAAGCAGTAAGCAGCATTATTAAAGAAGTCCGTAATTTTTGGAAGAAACTTGCACAAGCTACTGTAATACTATTTACAAATCATCTGGATTATTTCTATTTCAATAGTCCTTTTGGCATTTTCAGAGCTTAACTGACACAATTTCAGTTAATCTCTGAATTATATGTCGATTCACCTCTTGCCCAGACATATTAACTTTCCCACCTATGTTCTTTTCGTTCCTGCACTATACAATCTAGAAATGCAGAAGATTGCATATTTCGACAGAAACAATCTCATTTTACTGCACATTTTACAAAGGAAATGCGACTAAAACGTAGGTTATATTTATTACAGTTTGCTGCATTCTTCTTTGTAGTAACATTTGGCAATGTCATTAGCAATGTTGGTTGCGGTCTTGCTTAATAGCTTGAAAGAAACAGAATACGATTTTACATACCTATTACTATCGTTTAAAGTCATAATCATATCGTTATTTAACTTAAAGTCCATTTGGGGTTTTTGTGGCGTAATTTTTTTTTTAACAGTGGCGGAGGACTGACCCCCATAGTCGAAGAAAGCCAAACGCTGGAAAGATCGGCGAGCAACGTAAAAATATTAGCTGGTCGTTTAATGTCGCCCCTCCATTTTTCACGTTTCCAGGTCGAGGGGAATAGTAATGGTGAAATACCAGCTCATTTCCCCTTGATCCGGGACAGTAGCAGTTCGACGGATACTCAAGTGAACGAGTTATCGTTTTCCTTGGACGCCACCGTGACCAATAGCATTCCGGATCCGCAAACGCTCAAAAGTCTGAGGGTGTTTTCGCCCAGGTCCAACTCCACCAGGATCGACTTTGACGAATCGTTGATACTGGATTGCCGAGCGGCGACTCCTATATATCCACCATCTAAATCGTTTCGAGCAGAAGTCAGCGACGCTGTTATCGTGAGTTTGCCTTTTATTCTACAGGGTGATAATAATATTTATTTGCAAATTTCGAAGAAAAGTACAAGTGGGAACCCATTAAATATCATGCCATGCGCAAGGGAACAAAAAAAAGTAAATCGGGCAAGAGGAAATGGTGGAAATTATTGTCAAGTTTATGACCTTAGCGCCAGAGGGCGTAGTTGGTATTTTCAATTTTAAAACTGGTGTGTGTGTGTGTGTGAGTACTGTTTTTTCTTTGATGTCTTAGACTCTATCTCTGCAAGGAAAGTAGTATGGGGTTTTCGACGATTTTCTTACGTTCAGACATTGCTCTTTCTGTTCTTAAAATCCATGTTTGCTTTGGTCTAACTCTTTTTTCTTTCCATTACAACATGTGCTTAGGAATATGTTCATCAATTCAGTAATCCATCCCTAGTGCTAATAGTCAACGTCCTAGGGATTTGTTGGTCTGCCAGCTATCGCATCCATACAAGGTTATGGATGCGATAGATCTGGATACATCTGGACCTCCATCTGGATTATTTTTTTCCTTTCATATTTTGATATTCAATTTCTTTCTCTCTTTGTCCTTGTTTATGAATCTTTGTCCCTGACATGCATTAATGGTTTCTTGTTGATCAGATTTAAGATCCTCTATTTCGTTGTCCCCTATTCCAAGATACTAAGTTTTGGTTTTATTGAACAATAGTCCCCAGTCTTCGTAAAGTTTGAATAGTCTTCTAGTCATAAACTCCAAATCCTCCTTGTCCTGGGCAGTAACCAAGTGTTCAACCACAGAGTATAGTATCCACAAAGTAGCGTAGTTGTGACTCCATTGGACTGCATCTCCTCCATGTTGTTAGAACTTTGTTTAAAAAGTGTGGGAGAGAGGCTGCAGTTGTTGGATAGTTCTAATTGCGGGATTATTTCGGTGATTGTGATTCGCCAGGTTTCTGCTCCATATAAGTTATTACTTTGCATACATTGTTTTGTTGATTATATATATATATATATATATATATATATATATATATATATATATATATATATATATATATATATATATATATATATATATATATATATATATATATATATATATATATATATATATATATATATATATATATATATATATATATATATATATATATATATATATATATTAGTTCCGCTGTCATGGAAAAGCACGCCCAACAGATTGCATTATTGGGGGTTTCCACCGTTAGAGCCCATGTTGTATATTCCTCAATGGGTTTTCGCATGTTATGCTTGTCGTTGGCGAGAGCAGTTTTTCCAAAACCAAGTTTATTATAATAGGAAGCAAATAGTGCCTCAACAACATGTATTTTTTAACTATTACAAATTGAACTACTATGTGTCAGTATATTTCTGAGGCTATCCACAAACCTCGTGCTTTTGCATTTTCTGAATCGCTTGTTAATTTATTTTTGTCTAACCGCAACCCGTAGGTATATTTCAGTCATCACACTTCCGAAAGATATCAAGGCCAATACAGGGGTTTTTATTATTTAACATTTTTATTAATGACATTGGTGAAGACCTTGATTTTGGTTTTCTACTATATACCGATGCTTTTCAGCGTAGTTTAGACCAAATCAACATTTAGACTCAGTTTTTAGATATCACTAACGTTGATACATTTTTCGAAATATTTAGAACGGTAATTCCGATTTAGCGATATGTGTAATTTTGCGCTTAACAAAAATGCGTTGTCAAGCTCATCCAAAATATTTTTTTCAGATTAGTCGAATTCCTACGCCACCCGCCTCAGCAATGGGAGACATGACGAGAAGTGTCTATTCTAATAGGTAAGTTATATCATAATAATAATCAAGAAAGACGAATATTGCAGTAACATTGGTCAAACATAAATTGAATTTAAAAAAACAGGTGACATGTTTGGTTTAAACTGTTTAAAACTGTCAAATTCAGAGCCAAATTTTAATATGCATATAAAAATCTCAGTATTATGAATTGAGAACAAACCACACCACTGGACACCAAGAATCATATAGATAGAATGTTGATTTACTCTCCGGTTTACATCTATTGGAAAAGAGCATACGTTAATTTTCTAATGGCTTCATCATAGCCCCAAATTTAAACTCAATGATGATGATGATCGTTTAGTTTGCTAATTTTTGATCAATAAACATTAATTTATGATAAATTGAGCTTTTATTAATATTGCGCCCTTTAAATATTAAAAATTAATAAATTAAACAAAAGTGGACACTGATGGAAGTATACAGTTATTTTAAAAGGAACAAAATGTTTGTTTATCCAAAGTGAACAAAGGTATTCATTTCAAAATCATCTGCAAGAAACCCAAAATTAAACCTATTCCTTATTGTAAGACTTGGTTACTTGCTTGCTTGACCACAAACTCTCGTTTTTCCCTAAATGCAATGCAGTCTCTCCTATCAATTTAAAATTTCCTAATCAGGTATGCCAAATCTCTCCTCATTATAAGGTGATTTTTTTCTTTGGTTAGAAAACTTTAGGAAATGTAACAGCTGCCAAAGCTACGCATATCCACAGCTAGTCTCACCGGTCATTGCTACTTAACAAAGACTTAGATTGACTTTGAACAGAACTCCCTCGTGTAAGGTATGCGAACAGGAAGACGAGACAGTAAAAAATTAAAATTAAAATTTTTATTTACGCATATAGCATTTACATTATCATTACAATATAGTTTAACCTAAGAAAAATAGTAACACCAACACTTACAGTTGCTAAACTACCAAGTTTTGATTAAAAACAGTTATCTTTACTTTGCAATTAAAACTACTGAGAGAGTCCGAAAATAAATGCGCGTTATGTGTGAGTAAAATATTTGTCAGCTTGCCCATTCGATTCATAGGCGAGTTAATGCCATAGTTGGTCCTATGAAAATAAATATTAAAAAGAGCCTTATTTTTTGCATTAATAGGAGAAATATGAAAATCAACAGATGCCAGAAGATCTGGTGAATCCATCAAGTTATTAAGGATTTTGTATAATGTAGCGATGTCAAAAAATATGCGCCTACTCTCCAAAGATGTCAGATTTAAAAGCTTCATAATCTCCTCGTAGTTTATATCCTCAAATGACATTCCCAATTTAAAACCTATCCCTCTAAGGAACTTACGCTGCACACGCTCTATTCTTTCCTTGTGAATGGTTGCCAGACACAGCTAGCATACTCTAAAATTGAACGCATAAGCGCACAGTACATCTCACTATGCGTAAAGATGTTCTCTAAACCCTTTAAAGTTCGAAAAACAAACCCAAGCAATCGAATAGCTGTGTGACTCCAAGATCTAGGTTCTGTTCTGCGCATGTTCCATTCTCGCGTATAGCTTTGGTTAATTTAGGTGCGAAGTCGTGCTTGGCGAATCATATCCATCTAGGGTACAAGAGTATTCTGTCAAGCAAGAACCACAATGGGCTTGCTGAAGCCTGAAGACTGTGATGTAGGCTACCCTCCTTCATCTACAGATAGCTAAATTATACACAATGCTTAGATAGTTAGTGGGTTGTACACCCCAATCATATGACACGAATTGTAAATTGTAATTGAATTTAATTTTTCTCCCCTTTTCAAAGCATACGTTAATTTTCTTACGATGCCGAGCCAATCGGAAGGCAGTATAGACATACGGAAGTTCTGGCTATTATGCAAATATCATTACCACCTGAGGCGCATCAATTTTTGTCGTAGTAAGGCCACTACTTGTAGCCATATGACAGCTTTTTTGCTATTTTGTCACTTGAGATTTTAATTCTTTATACCTTTCCAAAATCGACGATAATGCAATCTACATGTACGGTGATTTGTATGCGCCAGAAAGAGCAATTGTGTAGTGATGTAATCAATAATGGTCCGTGTATCTTAGCTATATTGCTATCATTTTTAGGTGCGTTTCGATTTTAATTAATTCATTAATAAACAATCAATAATACCAAACAGATAGGTTTGTGTTTGAAAAACTCCCAGTGCTTCAACAATAAAAACCACTTAAACCCATAACGCAAAAGTAAAGATGGGGAACAAAAACCAGTCATTGTTGGAAAAAATGTCTTCCTCCAGGTCTGATTCATGCATATCGAGAAACAACACTTTCCCACTCTTCACTTATCAAGCAGTGTGTATACCTACAATAGTTCGTCTTTTTTCGGAAATCTGAAGCAAAATGTTCTGAAGTATTATTATTTTACTTGAGTAAGTGCTTTAGTTCATAAACGCAGTACAGGATCAGATGTTTGCAATCTGAACAAACCATCTCTATTGCATTAAATTAGCCATGATAAGGCGAATGCCGCAAAACGCGATGGCCACTTTCCAATGCTAACTTGTCCAGCAGGCGGGATTCCGAAGATAATGTGGGTATTTCGGACGCCTCCCCTGTGTCGTCAGTATCCAAATCGCGGTATTCTTGCGGAAGACAACAGTCGCGTTCGCTCGATTGTTCCGTTAACATTGACAAACTTGGACGGGACTGGCGAAAGAGGGATAATAGGTAAGTTTCCGTTCAGCTATTAAAACTCGTGTTAGTGCCCCGCTCAGGCGAAGAAATCTCTTGGCAGTATCGCCTTTTTTATAGTCGCAGGTGCCTATCGGCAGTTTTGTAACTACTTAAAACCATTTTTAGTTTTTAAGATTTGACAGCTGAAAGATATTTTAGAGTGATAGTTGTCAACTATGTTCTGAATCTTAATCAACAATATGTTAACGTCTTGGTGTCCCCCTGCGCAAGTACATCTTCCAATTGGATTTAATGTTTTGCGGAAAAACAGAAACAATTTTATATTATTAAAGTGGACAGGAAATTATTTTTTTCCAAGTCCTTTTACAAGGTGCAAAAAATTATTGAAATTAAATTTGGTATCTTCCGCTATAGGTGTTATTTATTTATTGAATTTCTTGTAAGCAAAATTCTGTAAGGCTTCTCTCGAAACCTCAATTGCCCAGTGATTTTCAATAAGTTTTATTAATCCATATAAATTTTCTATATCTATATTTGTATCGTGATGCTCTGTCAAGTTTCTCTTAGTTAATCCGTTTCTTTGATTTTTTACTTAGCGACAAAATTTTCGGTACTTGGAATTCGTCACAGTATCTCTGTGTGCCTTACAAAATTTCCGACGTTGATAAGGAATGATGTTTTCAGCTTACACATCGAGATTTTCTAGATTATTTTTTGCATGAGAATAACACAGTAATTATGGTCAAAATTTTTTGTATAGAGCTATGACATGAATATCACTCCTTGCTGTGTCCAAGGCGTTGCCGGATAACAGTTAGTTAATACACTTTATTGTTCTCGTTTAAAGTCATAAAAATTATTTATAACGATTTTTTTTTATTTTTTCGTTCCTATTTCAAGCTTCTAATTAGTGACCCCACATATTTATATACTTATAACGTTTCCAACATTTTTTTTTTCTAAATATTACGAAATGTCGTTAAAATATGGAAAAACAATTAAATGCAACACATCGCTTTACTGTTTTTTTTTTTCACCCACGAAGACCGTAAAAGTAGAGTTGTACCAATCGCGATTGATTCGGTCACTTTGATTCAATCGCTTAATAGAATTTCGCTTGTTCGTACCAACACAAATCGATTCGCCTTACGGAATATGGTTCATTTGAATGGTTTAAGATTGAAATGCATGACAGAAACAGACCACGGAAAAGGAATGGGAGTATTATAATAATTGTATAGTATTAAGTTGCGATATGGATTGGTAGATTTGCTTATGTGTTGAATTGAATATTGAATGAAATATCTATTTTCACGCAGATACTTAATTTGAACAAATTAATTTATTACTCGTTCAACCCAATGTATATCACCTATTTCGATAAAACATGATGCAATAAAAAGCAGAAGACAGCTTACTATGATTCTAACTAAAACAGAAAATATAGACACAACAATAATTGAAATTTAAATGAATCTGAATCTGTCGTTCGGACTGCTCGGTTTCAATGACTATTGTCGCTTATGATTTATAGCTTGCAGTTGGCAACAAAAAGCATTGAAATGAACGATTGATTGAAAAGATTCTGTCCTTTTCGAAATCGCTCACTGATTGATTCGGTCCTCGTAAAATGAACGATTGGCACAACAGTAGGTAAAAGGCTAAACTAAATAATGACGATGACCTTGCTAATAAAAAATGCGTTCTATAAATAGCAAAGGTGGTTGCCACTTCCTCCACTGGATAAAACACAAAAAATATAGATATATAAAGAAAATAAAAAGCTCCTTTTTCGTTTGTTTCGTTATGTCGCTTCATTTATTTACCTTAGCTGTAGAGTATTGTTTTGAGAAACTATGTGGTAAGCTCTAATTTTTGCACTCCTGAAGAAGTCAACAAATTAATTGAGTTAATATTGAGTGTTAAAGGAAAAGCAGGCAAGACATGGGCTTCCTAATGATGTTATATATCACAAAGTATACACGTGTAGTTCACAGAGATCGCCACCAGCTGGCGTTTCAAAATGTGTACGTATATATTTGGATCGACCGATGTATATAGATGTTCTCGCATCTGCGAAGCCAGAAACAACGGCCACATTGGCAATTTCTTTGGGTTGAATTTATGTTGTTTCCGATACATAGTTAATTTCTTCAGGAGCTGGATGTCCATCTCATTTTGGTAAAAAAGACATTTAGGTGAAAGGCTGTTATTATTTTATTTGTTGGCACTTTGAGGTCTAACATTATTATAAAGCAAATATTTTATCTTTCCCCAGGTAGGAATTGTTTGCTGTTTGCGATGTTTGCCAAGATACTCTTCGCACTCACGTTTCTTTAGTGCTATGTTTCTACTTAAATGTGATTTAAGTAGTTAAATGTTTTTAATCTATCTCTAAAGGAACAGCATAAACAGCAAATAAACTTGAGGTCGTTAAAAATGGATTTCCCTTGGCTAACATTCATTAGATGGTCAGACAAAAATCCAAGAACCCAGTGAAAATCGCATCTCAATGACTGTTATTTTAAGTCCCTGTCAATACATCGATCTAGCGAGTGGAAAGTGTCATTTCACCATGACAGTTTCACTTCCAACGGATCCGAGCCACTTCGGCAGGTTTCGGAAATTTTACTGCACGATGTTTGTCCAATTCTGACGATCATGTTAGTGAATGTGAATACGAATGTGTTATTTTGCAAAAATGTACCCAAAAACAAACGGTCGTAGAAAAAGCATACTATGCAACACGACAAATACAGTTTACGACACTTGTTGCATAATATCGTAACCTAACGCCACTCTTATAAATTAAATACTCTATCCGAACGTTATGGAAACTAAATATTGATAACGATAAAACACAAAAATTAATTGAAAAGGACATGAAAGTTCAAAACGAAATGTTCAAAATGCCTTCCTATTCTTTCTAATGCTTTGGATAAGTCTGCGGTAAAAAATTCCTTCGTGCGAAAAGTATGCTGGACATCCGTCGTGTTGGAGTCACATATTTGTCCTTGTTTGTAAAGGGACATTTCTAATAAAATCGGCAACTACTTTCATATAAAGTACAAATAAATTTGACCAGAAAAATGGTGCCATAATTGGATTACCCAAAGTATCCCCCTGCCCGATTTTGATAATTCGCTTCACGCATCCAATGAGGATTCACTATCGATAATGCATATTATGCATAATTATGCATTGCGAAGTATGTATTTGCATAATATGTTTTAATATATAATAATTTATATATTATAAAAATATATATAAATAAATTATGTTAAAATAATTTTATTTTTGTAGCAGTTGTAATTAAATGTCTAAAGAAATGTTAAAATCTAAAAACCATTAAATTTTTTATCAATGGTCAAAGTGATTGCGTCTATGGTAGCCCTCATTAATTGACCTTAACGATTAACGTAACTGGATTACCGGTAGATCGTCAACAACAATTTGAATTTGTAGATTTCGAAAGGGAGTTAAAAGATGTATCAGGAACGGATATCCAGCATCACTAAGCAAATATCCATCCTGCTTTTAACGAAACATCTTTTAAAAATGATGCTGTCATGATGGTTTCCTGGACATTAATCGAAAATTTCCTTTTACTATTCCTAAAGAGTTCTGCATTTGATCTTTCTGGATTAATGATAGGAACATGGTACAATCAATGGAACCAGTGACATTTGGAAATTTTCCAATTCTTTGGAAACGCATTTGAAATACTCGCAAATTGTCTGGGAATTTTATGAACTGCCGACTGTGAGCTGAGATTCTTCTTGTAAATTTCGTTATTACATGGCATACAGTAGACTTCTCTTAGATATCCACTAACAATCTAAAAATGATTTGTATGTTAGTTTTATATTCACTTAGGTTAGTAACTATTTAATTATATATGTTAATTGTTAATTATATATGTTCCCGATTTTCAACTAAGGGTAAGAAAACCGCTTTTTTGAATTGAACTTCACAATATTTTTCCATGAGATTTTGCATGTCTCTAATATATCTAAAAATATCAGTTCCTTTATAATTGCTACTAGCTACAAACACAAGACTTTTGAACATTTTGTATTATGCACCGACGTAGTATGTTTTTTACTAATTCCGAATCCAAAATATCTTTATTAGCATTATTAATCATATTAAGACCGCGATCTATTTTTTTTTTTTTTGAAAATTACGTCAGTTAAAAACCCACGGAACGACATACCGGCCTTTCCAAAATTAATGCATCTAGCCCTTTCTTCTATCAAGAAAAATTCGTGAGTTCATCGAATTGATCGAACACTCCAGTAATATAAGCCGCAACATGGATTTCAACCTCTTTTCTATTTGGTGACGCAACTAAACCTCCTCTACCATTCGACCTTCCCCGACAGGTATTTGCAGCTGTATTTTTTTTGCAATCTTGTATTATTTCCGTGGGAGTGGATTTTTGCTAGAGTTCGCCAGATTCTCTATTTCAAAAAGTCCCATGTAGTAGTTCTGTTATGGCAACACAATAAAAGGCATTATTTATTTATTTATTTAGTTTTTTGAAAAATTATAAAATGATAGGAAATGTTTCGTTTATTTCAGTCAAACTCCGTTAAGCCCCATCATAATGCTCAAAAAACTAGGCACCAATCTGGAAATGGACAGGCCCTGTTCCGACCACTCCACGGTCAAACGGTCTTCGTCGTGGAACGAAAACGAAAAGAAATCGGTAAAGCGGAAAAGGATGGCGCTTTCGCGGAATCGAACGCCGAGCGACGAGAACGAACACAAAAATTTCTCGGAGGAGAATGTGCAGGAAGTCGGAAGAAGGTAAGTAAAACGGTAGGTCTTCGGCATAGGTTAATTTGCGAACGGTGTCGATCATGGCTCCAAACTTAAACCGAATTTTCCTTTACTTATTTTTATTAGAGGGCTTGCGATTGGCGATCGTTGATTATTTTTGATGAATTAACATTTCTTTATTATTAATTGTCGTTATAGTATTTAAAATAAATGTTTTTTTTTCTTTCTTTTTTTTTCCCTCTTTATTTCTTGTAAAATAGTATGTATATCTAATTGTAACACTGGCATGGGACACCATTTTTTTCAATCCATTTTCGAATTCTGCGTCAATTTTCACGTATAATTGATGTAGCAGACCCTATTCTTATCACTTACTTTTTATGAGTCAAAGAAAAAACAGAAAATTAATTTTGAAATAAACGGGTAAGTTCCTAAGTTGTCATAATTACATTTCTGTCACTAAAGAAAGTGAGTATGGCCCATCTAAATGAATGTCGGATCTCCAGAAGAAGTTTTTAATTTGTTTAACGCGAAATATCCTTAGAGACCCATTAAAATGAGTAAAATTGAGAGAAAATTTATAGAAACAAAAAAAATATTTTATTACGTGTTGAAAATGCCCATCCTTAATTTCCAACCATAACATTAATCAGGATATTTTTATTAATTTGCCTTACCTAATTTTTTATAATTTGCAGTATCTAATTATAAATTTTAAATCATCTAAATTTTGTGGTTTTCCTTCCACTTTTGATTTTAAATAACCCCAAAGAAAAAAATCCAATACAGTAATATCTGGAAATCTTTCAATTGATCCCGTTCTACCAATCCACTGTCTTTAAAATACCGTATTGTTGATCGCCCTATTTTTAAAAATATACTAGTTAAAAAAATACAAGCAAACATTGGAAAATACTTGTGTATTTATTTATATTGATACTTGCTGGAGCAAAGCAAAACATTCGACATGGGGTTCAAGATTGACAACACCAATAGGCAGAGGACTTCTCAAAACCAGTAATATGTAGCAATTATCCATTGGTGAATACTGACGACAGATACAAACAAAATTCCTGATTTTGACACCAAGAAATATAAGGCTGAAAGCTGTTTTGACCTGTCATCAGACCACTCAGTAGTAATGCTAGCAGTTCTCTCAAATATTTTGAATAAAGAAAAACAAACCCTCTCTGTATAACTATAGAACAGACTATAGAACTGCTTGGAAAGTAGCCCATAGCCCCTGAAAAAAGCCAGCAGAAGTCCTCCTCTAGGCCCATAAATTTGCTGGCAATGCTCTCCAAAGTCTTTGAGAAGTTGTATACCACGAGGGCTCAACAAGAAAATAGAAGAATGAAAAATAATTCCAAATCATAAATTTGACTTACACAACAAACAGGGAACAACAGACTAGTCAATCAAATCAATAAAGATCTCAATGCTAAAAGATACTGCTCTGCAAGCTGCAACCAAGTGTGGCATAACAGCTTATAAGTAAAGCTAAAAAAGAAGTATAGTGATAGTCCGGAAGCCCTGGACCTTTTTTGAAAATGGTAAGCAACAAGCTAATTCTTTGGAAACCGTTTCATTTCATGAAGACGCCCAACCTTTTCCTCTACGAAAATTGTTGTAACAGGTAGCTAACTATACGCGCAGGTATAAAATCATGTCAATTTAGTTACCATACCAAAATGATCAGCAACAGTTTAGTTTTTAGTTAAATCTATAGATATTGAAACATATAATTGGAAATTAAATTTGGCCTACAAACAAATAGGTTTGGTATAGAGTGGCCACCCCCTCAAATTTGTATCTATTATTTATTTATAAAAAGTGACGAGCAACATGCTAAATTTTTTACTGTAGCTTGCTAATAATTTTTATTAACAAATGATCACATTGTCCTACAAATAAACTGGTAGGATTTTTCAGTCCTACACTTTAAAGTTGTTGTTCAAAACTATTTTTAAAAACCATCCGCAACCGCCTAGATTTTTGTGAGTGGATTCGTTTTATTAAGACGCCCAGCTATTATTTTGCGAAAAGTTGCAAAACAGGTAGCTGAAAGAATGAACAGGTATCAAATCATGTCAAATTGATTATTATGTAAAAGTGATCAGCAACAGCTTATTTTTTAACTAAGTTTGGAGATAATCAGATAAATAATCTAAAACAACATTTGTCCTACAAATGAAATTGTAGGTTTTTTCAGTCCTACTCTGGAAAATTTCGAAAATTGCCCCTAACTTAAACGTGGTTACATGTCCATACTTGTATATTCGAATATACGTGTATATGTATACATACACATACTTATATCAAATCGGCGGTATATATTCGCATCAGACGCGCATACGCGAAACATACCAACGTATTATCGAGAACACGCATACAACATACATTGTGATAAACCTAATTTTCGTGAAAAAAGAGAGACGATAAAAAAACTTACTAAAGACATTTATCTCGCGTATAAAAATTATCTACACCCTCGAAAGCATCATAACCACAAATATAATGATGCTGAATTGCCTGGCCATTGGGATGACGATGTAATAGGCTACCACTCTTGTTGGTACAAGGAGTTCAGAGTAAAAGCTAAATATTTATGTTATGAAAGGTAAGTTTATGCTTTATTTTTTAAGTAAATGTAAAATGAAAATGTTGAATTTTTTTTATTTTCGTTTTGTCGTTTAAGTGAAAAAAAAAATAGTAAAAAATGAATGATTGTTTCATGAATAACGACATATTTTTTTCATAATTTTCATGGATTATAATACTTGTATTATAATGAATGGGTGTACTGCATTATTTGTAATCGATTGAAGTCAACAAAATAAAATTTTGATTTACTTACCCTCTCTTTCACTGCATTCATATAATCACCTACTTACTTTTTCAAAAGTTTATCGATCAAATACTATCATGATACTGATGTGAGTTAAAAACAAGTAAAAAAAAATCCGGCGTGCCAAAAAATATGAAAAAAAAAATGTTGATAAATAATAATGAAACAACTTAATTAAACTCATTTGTAAAAAACAGCATCATAGATAATGGCTGTAGGAATATTTTAAGAACAAAAAAAAAGTTAAACGCTCAACTAAATTTATAGGTTAGACCGTAATTCAGAGGTTAAGCAGGGATAATGTTCAAGAGTCGAACTTGCAACCTATTTTTTGTCGGACTAGCGAAATCTACCAATTTTTATGTAGGACATTAATTCATTTAGATAGAAAATGTCATAAAGTTTCATTTAATTTTGGTGTCCTAAAGTTGCTGATGAATTACGTATTATCGTGAGGTCAACAACTTTAAAGTGTAGGACTGAAAAATCCTACCAGTTTATTTGAAACATGTTGCTCATCACATTTTATAAATAAATAATAGATACAACTTTGAGGGGGTGGCCACTGTATACCAAACCTATTTGTTTGTAGGCCAAATTTAATTTCAAATTATATATTTCAATATCTATAGATTTAACTAAAAACTAAACTGTTGCTGATCATTTTGGTATGGTAACTAAATTGACATGATTTTATACCTGCGCGTATAGTTAGCTACCTGCTACAATTTTCGTAGAGGGAAACGTTGGGCGTCTTGATGAAATGAAACGATTTCCAAAGAATTAGCTTGTTGCTTATCATTTTGAAAAAAGGTCCAGGGCTCCCGGACTATGATACAAATTAACAATAAAACTAAGGCATTAAAAATACAAATTCTATTTACTAAGACAATGTCTAACTGAGCAACTGTTATTGATGAATATTGTGTGAATCGTAGAGTATATTTACAAAAAAAATCACAATCTTTAACTATAGGGAAAAGGTTAATGACATTCTCTCCCTATACCTTTTCAATGTTTGTGGTTATATTTATTAGAATAAGGTCTGTTTAAAGCCAATCAATTATCTGTATACAACTAGAATGATGACGAACAGACAAATGCAGTTACAGAAGTGAATTTTATAAAAAATAATTTTAAATACTTGAAATTTGACTTTGACCGCTTAATCAATTTTTAACATGCATATTTTTGTAATTGTCCAAAAATTTTATGCTCATGGCACCATGATCGAAACTCGCCGCCGCGTTCTGTTTAGTCGACACCATTAGACTGCTGTAAGTCGGCCAAAACTACGCCTCACCACGGTTTGTCGTTTTTTAGGTTATCATGGACAAGCTCGTCCTCGAGCTCTAGGAGCAGGACCACGTCATACAGGAAAGGGTAGGTTATTGTTTTTATACAGGGTGTTATCGAAACTAGAACACATAAAAATAAGACTTTTTTTTATATCGACATCCGATTCTGCCTCGTGTCGTAGCTGCAGAGTATTAAAGCATTTAAATATTTAATTTAAATTTATCCAAAACGACTGGAGGGTAAAACTTATTAAAACTAGTACATATTTTACCACAATTAGAGTTTATACAGCTACACTTTTCTGAAAAAAAAAGACTGCGCGCCGTTGACTTTGTGTTTGATGGCAAAATTGTCAAAATGTTAGACACTAGAATTTTACTATTTTTTATGAGTTTTCGATCAGTATTAGGTAATTTATTGCTTTTATATTTCTAATAGTTTACGTGTTTTTCCGTTGTTGTCGAGTTTTTTAAAAATATTGCACTCCTTTAAAATGCCCTGATGCCATGATAATTTGGGTGAATTAACCGACATATTATTAGTTTATGGCGAAGCGAAACAAAAAGGAAGAGAAGCAACTATAATTTATTAAGATGGGTTTTCCGAAGATAAGCACCCAGCAAATATTTGGGCAGGTATTATTGGAAATGCAATTATTGGTCCAATTATTCTACCACTTGTATCATGTGCCTGTCATCTTTAAATTTTCTGAGGAGTGATTTGCCAGAGCTCTCACCTGTATTAGTGAAAAATAGAATGTGGTTCCAACACGATGGTGCAACGGCTGAGTTTTCTACAGGTTGTCGAAATAGTATGTCAATGGTATGTATCCCAGTTATTATTTGCTTTAGAAAAAAATACATGTGGCAAACCAAAGTTAAATTTTTTAAATAAAACACCCCGGTATATTATTGCATTAGTAGATACGCCGTTTTATACTGAGTCACCCAATGTGGCGTTACTGAGCCCTATATCGAGGGCGTTCGGATTTATCGCCATTTTTTCTTCAAAATGTCCTGTGTTTAACACTATATTTTTGCCGCCATTTCCGGCAGCTGTAATTTGATTATACTAACAATAAAGTTGGTTCGAATCTTTTATACAGAAAAAAAAATATTTTACGTGAAAAAATTAAATGGAACACCCTGTATATTACACTTCCATTAATTTCTCCTAATAATGCTCAATGTCAATTTTATTAAGCATAACTATGAAAATTTGTTCAAAATATAAGAAAATATTGCAATAAGCGTAGAACAATAAAAATAATTACATTTTTAATTTAGTCAAAAAAATGTTTCCTCTCTTTCCAATTTAGGAATTCTGCCTTTCTTAAAGCCCAAAATATTATTGAATCGCAGGGTATCCAAACAGTGTGTCAAAGTAATAAATCTAGGTAATTTTAACCTTACCTGCAATCTTCATACAGGAAAGTATACTGTTCGTTTTTAAAAACAGAAACCTTTTTGAAAACAGTGTGTCTCAGGATGTTTATAATATAAATATTACACATATCCCTATGAGTGAGAAGAGCGCGTATTGTCAGTGTATATTAGGTGTTATAATAGTTTGCCGAACAACAAGGTCAAAACAACAAAGAGAGCAATTTTTAATTTACTCGTAGCAACAGAACCATATAGTGTAGAAGAATACTATGGATTTATTTAAAACAGATAGGACAACCACTGTAAAGGACACCATTTCAATGTACCTAACAATCATTTGAAGTAAAAATGATTTATTATTATTATTTGTTTTAGAGAAAAAAATTAAATACAAAAGTTATGGATGAGACTAAAGGGAAACAATTTACACCTTTTTTGAACTATTCAGAGTGATCCATAAATATGTGGTAACCAAACTTTTATATTCAATCATCCAACGTAGGGTTGTTATGGTCTATACTGAGTATTTTTGAATTTTTGGGAATTTTTTCGTCAATAATGCTCTGTGCTTAATACCCTATATTTTGACGTCGTTTCCGACAGCTGTAATTTTATTATGAATCACCCGTTATATTTGAAAATAATTTCAAATTGCTTTTTAACATTTTTCTCTAAAACAAATAATAAACCAGGTATTTTACTTTGACGCACTAGTTGGACACCTTGTATTCATGAAGGAACTTTAAATGAATGTAATATATGAACAAATGAACTCTTATGTAAGGAAGGACAACCACACTTGCCACTGTTGTCGCTCCTTACGTTCAAGTTCAAAACAATTGACCACATATTAAAAATTTTAAAGAAATATAACGTCAAAACCAGATTTACCACTTGTCCAAAATTCTCTCAACATCTTTGATCCGTCAAAGGCAAATTTCCATTTGAGATGCCATGAGTTTACAGCATTCCGTGCATATGCGGCAAAGAATACATTGAAGAGACCGGACGAAAAATATCAATTAGGCTCAAAGAACATGCCTTAAGACTAAAACAAACTCATCAGCATTTGCCGAACACAAGCACGAAACCGGACAGAAAATTTTATTCCATAAAATTAAAATTCTTGCATGTAATCAATTCTTCTATCAACGAAAAATCCAAGAGTCAATAGAAATCTATAAGTAACCTAACAGTCTTAGTCGCAACTCAGATTTTTACCTGTCACCAATATGGGATCAGTCATCCGAGACGCTGTTTATGCCCCTCACCTAGCTCCGCCCCCCTCAAACAATATAAAAGCAGAGTAAAATGCAAGCCAAGAAGCCAACAGGATGATTGGAGAAACGTTAGCTAGTTCGACTCAACAAACAACGCAGGAGGAATCCGGAAGTTTTATAAAAACCCTTCTTATTTTTTCTATGCAAGAAAAATAAGGTCAGCTTTTTTTTTAGAAAAGTATTGCAGCGATAGTTTATACGCACGGCGTAGTTGTTTAAACTCTTTTATATATATATATATATATATATATATATATATATATATATATATATATATATATATATATATACATGTATCCCGCAGCTACGAAACGAAGCAGAATCCAACCCATGTTGATGTAAAAAAATCTCGCCTCCGGCATGGCACATGTTATTTGAAACACTCCATATATTGATATACAAAATTTTATAACTGAGTAAATAAATTCATAAAATTTATTGTGGTGTCAGAAATTAAAAAAAAAGTAAGTATGATTTTTCCGTAAAGCTGAATTATTTGATAAGATTTATATTCTGAGTGAGGCGGAAAACAATACTTTCAAGAAATAAACCTTTAAAATTTCTAATGTAGCTTATATACTAATAAGTTTTAACTATCATTCTTTTTAAATTGTAAATTATGGCAACAATTTTATTAATAAGTAAACAGTTTTAATTGTATTTCCTTAATTTTTTAAAAATAATTCTTTCTCTACAAACACGAACCTGAATGATAATTATCATAAAAATGTCTCTTTTTTTCAAAGAGTTGTTGATTGATTCAATTATAATAGTCTTACCGTTGATTGGCTTCTCGATTCTTTCCTATTAAATATGCTGCGTTTTTGTAACTGCTCGTCTGTAAAAATAAACAATAGGCATACATTTCGAAGGAATAACTTTATTCGTGTAATTAAGCAATTTATTATCATCCTGGAACATTTCATCATAGATTTCAGCTTTTGTTTGATCTGACATTATAAAAGAATAATTGAAAAATCATAATAGTTAATGTAATGTGAAAATAATTTGATATTTAACAAAAATTTTCTTAATTAAGTTTATTTAATTATGAAAACAGTTAATTAAAAAAAAGTGGGTACCTCCAATTCATCATTCATTTATTTAGCCTTTGTTAGCAATTCTTCTCATATAACCTTTTTTGCTATATTGCTATATTAGTATAATTAATTACTATAATAACCAAATACACACAACGAATACTGTTTGCAGAATATAACAGAATGCAGGGAATGACGTCGCGAAATCTTTGAACTTAAAGAACCTGTAAATGTAGAAAGCTAAGGCCTGATGCTTTAACGATAAAATTGTATCAAATTAATTGAAAAAAAAACTACCAAAAGCAAATATTGCAAACAAGGCCATTTCGGATTTAGTTTAAAAAGTCGTTAAAACGTAAAACCAACTAAATGCAAATTTGATGAAATATGCCCTATAAAGTATATAAACACATAAAACGAAATTGTCGTTACCTTTGTAAACCATAAACATCACATTTTTTTTTATTATAAATTTCATTTCGTGTTATTATATTCTACTTTTAAAGTTCACGCCAATGAACTTTTACTTTGACATTATTATGAAAACGTGTCATTTGTTCCAATACCTTTTTCGAACTCTCTTTGTGTTTTTGAACATAGTCCGAAATTATCACGATTTGTGTCTTTTATATGACCTTTGATTATTTCAAAAGGTTATTTCGAAAGGCGTAAATTTCGTGACACTGTGTATGGATTTATTATATCCAACCGGAACATGATACAAAAATTAGGAGGCAATCAATGACGGCTGGTCCTGTCAGGATTTTAAGAGAATACGCTTGACCGTATCTAGAAAAGGCGTCAAGAATGGTTAAAAATATTTGGTTGTCGATTTTAAAAGAGTCAATATGAATTTGTTCGAATGATTTAGATGTCATAGGTGTTAGACTAAATTTAATGACAGGGGGATTTGTATCGTATTTGTTTTTCTGGCAAGTATCACAAATATTTACAAACCGCTCTATATCGTCAGTCATTTTAGGCCAATAGAATCTAGTAGTCACTGTTATTTTCATTTCAGAGATGCCCCTATGGCAAGTTGTTGTGGTGTGGTAAATTTTTGATTTTTCCTGTTGTTCGTTCTGGGATTCAACATCCTCTAAGAATTTTGAACATTGAACAAACCTGTAGGAAGAATTTAGAAATGTTTTTTGTAATGTTACAGTAAAGGTTTGAGCTAGTTTTTTCAGTTCTAAAATAAAGTGCGTAAAGATTTTTGGGGTCTTATAAATTCCTTTAAGAATTTATTATATGTGGGATAGGCTCAAGTTTAGGAAATACTACTAAAATTCTAGTATTATTGGAAATATTTGAAAATTGATTTGATTGATTGAATTGATTTTTATAGATATTCAATATTCTTTCTGTAACGGAAATGTTAAAAATTGGATTTTCGTGAGACGTATGTATCGTTTCTAAATCGCTAGTATCTAGTAATGGCGGTTGATTTTGTGAATATTGAGCGGGTCGCAGAATAATGTCTGACAAAATATTTATTTTCTTTTGGGAATTGTTGCCTAGAATTGATTCTAATTCTAATTTCTCTATAGTTTCGTTCGCGTCACCGAGTTCATTAGTCGTAGATAAAGTTTCCAAGGCGCTAAGGTCAATGTTTTCGCTAGTATCTACGGGGTTTCGCGAAAGTGCGTCTGCGGCTTGGTTTTTCTTTCCTTTTTGATATTTTAAAATACAATCAAACTCTTCGAGTTTGAGGCGCCAGCGAATTAAGCGACTATTTGGTTCTTTTAAACTTGAAAGCCAGATTAAGGGTTTATGGTCCCTGAGGACAGAGAACTTTTGTTCAAACAACAAACAAACGAATTTTTGAATGGCCTCGATCTTTTTCGGGTTTGGTTTGATGCATTCTGGCGTTACTACGTGCCCTAAAAATTCGATTTCTTTTCTTAATAATTCGCATTTGTCCAGTTGAATTTTTAATTTTTGCATCGCGTAATTTCGAAAACACAAGGCGCAAATTTTCAATGTGTTCCTGCAAGCCTGTACTAAAAATAATTATGTCGTCCATATAGACCATACAAATTTTATTCTGAAGGTCTTTAAGGACCTCGTCTATTACGCGTTGAAACGTACTCGGCGCATTTTTCAATCCAAATGGCATTCGTAGATATTCATAATGTCCGTTTTCCACGGAAAACGCTGTTTTTTTCTATCGAATTTTGTGCCTTCTCGATCTGGTGAAAACCGCTCGCTAGGTCTAAAGCCGAAAAGTATTGTCATTATCTAGTATATCAGAAGTGTTTGGAATTTGGTATCGGTCGTTGATTGTTTTAAGGTTTGATTTACGATCTATTACTACGCTCCACTTTTGTACGTTTGAGGCGTCGATTTTTTTTGAAACGATCCAAACACGAGAGCTCCAAGGGCTGCTTGAAGGACGGATTATACTTTTTCCTAACATTTCATTTATTTGTTTCCTTATTTCCTCTTTATGGGCTTACGGGTAACGATATGATTTTGTGTGTACCGGAACTTCGTCAGTGGTTTTTATCTCGTGTCGAATTTTGGATGTAAATGTTAGCGCGTAGGCTGGTTTATAAAAAATGTCTTTAAATTCGTCGCATAATTTAGTGATTGATTGCTGCTCTTCTGAGTTCATGTGGGATAGCCGTATTAATTTGGTTATATCGATTTTTGAGGGAGAATTTTGAAAATATTTATTTTTATCGAAAGAATATATTTCCAATGCTTCCTGTATAAACGATTCTATGGGAATTGGTTGCAACAAGGTTTTATCGGTGTGGTTTTGTATTTCAACGGGTGCGAATCCGTTTCTCGCGTGGGATAGCATTCTAGGAATAAACAAGGTATTTATTTCAGTAGGAGGTACTAAAATATTGCCTTCAAAAACGCTAACTGTCAAATTCTTGATAATTTTCTCATGAGAGTTTATCGAAAATGAAAATTTTGAATCTGCGGGTTCGCGGAACTTAAAAAGGAATTTGAATTGTTTTATTCGAAAGTATTTTGTTATTTAAGTCAATATTTAAATTCATTTTTATCAAATCAGTTAATTCAATAACGTCATCGAAAAAGTCGTAAAAATCGAAAATAATAAAATCGATTTCGTAATCGATACCAAATTCTGTAAGTAGAGCTATAGTAGCTTCAAATTGAGTGTTTTGGCTGCCTACGGCTGTTTTTATAGTAATAGGTTTTAATACTGATCTATTACTACCAGTGTCTATTAATAATTTAATATTTAAAGAGTTAATTTACAAGTAAGGAAGGGGGTTATACGAAGATAGGTTTATTTCAATTAAGTTGGGGTTTCTTCTTGGCTGGTTTCGCAAAAATTTGGGGATACATCTAAATTTTGATGGCTTTGATTTTCTAATTGACATCGTATTGATTCATCAAATGTCTCAAAGTATTCTTGAGGAAAATTATTTTCAAAACGCGGGTCGAAATAATCTAAGTTATCCTCAGAGTCTTCTCTGGGTTCGCCAACAATTTCTTTGGATTGCGCTGTAGCGGTTGAAACCACTCCTCAGGGTAACCTAATTCGGTAAGTTTCACTTTTTCGGACGATGCGACGTATACACACGAATTTTCTCTGCGCTTTCGTTTTCCGAATTCCGAGGGCACAATCCTACCGACTGCGCCAGTTATGTTTAAGTGAAGACGAGGTGACTTTTTAAAAAACTTCATTTTCAAAAATAAAATCGAAAATTAAGAGTTTCTGCAGCAGCAGGTACAACAAGAATGCTTTATATTACTTAAAACTAAGACTTTATAGGTTCGTATCCGAAAAGCTGACAATGTGAATATCACGGTCTCTATCCTTATTACGTGGAAATCATTGTACATAACCCGCGCATGGATTACAATGTATTTCAAATACATAGATTAGAAAATATTCAAAAAAAAGTTTATACGTGTGCGAAGCAAAACTTAGGCACCTTTAAGATCGGTGTTATACGTTCTATTTACGTACAAATTATTCTCTTATAAACATTAAGTTATATCCAAGTTGATCCAATAATTTTATATAGTTACCGAAAATGTATTTATAGAAACCTTCGTAACCGGTATAAAACCAAAGATAACCGGAATAGCAATAAAAAAACTGTCAATGATGAAATCAGAACCCTACTTTTCAGTTGTTTGGTTATTGCTAAATATACCTTTTAAAACTGCTCAATATAGAAATATGTTGATCCGGGTCTAAATTCCGTGACATAAAAATAAAATAGAAAATTAACAAACATCGTGACCTCAAAAGCTGCTTCAACCGGAAAATGTTTGTTGCTGCATAATAGCCGTAGAATTAGGTGCTTTAAAGGGCTGTTTCGGGTATAAAATTTTGATAATAAGGTTTTCAAGAACCTTAACCTCGAGTAGACAACACCAACCAAATTATAAATAATAACGGAAACGTTTTAAGCGCTGGTAGTAGAAAACTAATAATTGTTGTTGAAGCCAACGTTTCTTATCGACCTCATAAATATCTGCGAAAAACGCTAGTCTGGTTGTCTACGACTTATACATTACCTTGACGAGCTGTCTGTTATTTTTAATAGAGCTAGATTGGTTTCCTCGACAATTAATAACCGCCTGTTTTTATTTACGCATAATTACAATTTGGATGACTTTTGTTTGTTCGTTGTGCAGGCCGGCCCGAGCAGCAAAGCCCAAAGAGTTAAAAGACTCTTCGCTTAAAAAGTAAGTAATGTATGTTTTCATACACAAAGTTATTCCACAAAATAGACATACAGTCGGAAGAATTTAAATTCAAATTCGAAAACCATTTGTTGCCTTTTTTGTTCTTAATTCGAAAGAGTAATAAAATGTAAATTTTCAACGACTTCAATACTTTATCAGCAACTGCCCGCAAGTAACTATAATTTAATTTTAAACACAAGGCACGGGCACAAAACACCGTCTAGCTCCCACCCTCGGGACCCTTGACAATCATCAAAGGTTCAATACTATGCCTATGAAATACGGCTAAGGTCAGCAAGTTTACAGTTCAATAATGAATTATAACTCTTTTGCATTAAGAAAAAGAATATATCAAAAAAGAAACCATGAACATCTTAGGCAGTGTCATTGGCAATGTTTTAAATGCGGATGGTCCATTAAGAACTCTTATACCTTATCTTAATAAGTACGACACTGATGAATAAAAGGTACAGGTGTTTGACCCAAACTACTTATAGCATTTTTATGTCTACAGGGAGTTCCGTTTTGCCAGAACAGTAACCAACATTATGTTTTTACATGGAATGATATGCGAGTTTTTTTGTTATTACGTGGTATACGAAGCTTTGAATAGTTTTTGAGAAAAATAGACTTTTCAATTTTTTGGCGGAAAAACGTGTTTTTTTAACTTGAAAACTAAAATTGGTATTTTTTTATGGGTCCATGGAAATGGTAACATTTAATGCTTTAACCTATCTACGCGAAAAATATTTTATACAGGGTGGTAGTCACAAATGACCATTGTTTGTTCTAATTTAAAAAACTCATTTGTTTTTAAATGTATTTAAGCACATTTATTTGGCTTGGGATTTAATTCGGTAGCATTTCATGTAATAAATTATGGCCAACTCATGTATTTTATTTTAAATCCAACTAAACCTATATAATACAGTTGACATTAATTTCGTAAATTCAACATAAAATCAAAAAATAATGCAAATAAATAAAACTTATTACTAATTACAAAACGTTTTCTAACTCTCAAAAAAAAAAGAACTAATAAAATTGTAACCTGGACAGAAATAGATAGTTAGTTCTTATTTGAGACTTAGTTGTCACCAACATTTTTTAAAAGAAAAAATTACTTTTTACAGTGTTCAAGAGCGTTTAGATCTTAAGTAGGTCCAGCATTAGCCCTAAGAGAATATAGTTGTTGTATCCTGCAAGTACCTACGAAACATATTTTTCCACGAATTGTTCGTGATCTTGAACGTAGGGTAAGAGAATCACAATAATCCAAAAAGGCCATCAAAAATTGTCCTAACAGAAGAGAAATTTCTCAAACAGATCCCGAGATCTACCAGATATTAGTAAGAGTAGTATTCAAAGCACTTTAAAATTTAATAACTACAATCCATTCCAATTTTTGCTAGTTCAAAAGGTCTTTCAAACAAGACGTCTTTATTGTTCATTTAAAATGACATTTATTTATCTGAAATTAAAATCATCAAAAGAAATTAAGAAACAGGGTCGGAGAAATGTTTATGTGTGGTGTGACATAATGCGTGATCGAATAATATGTTCAGTATTTTATGACTTTGTTCTGAATCGTGAGATATTTTAATTCGTTGGAGAACTATATATTTCCATTACTTGCCGGACGTAGTTATAAAAAAAAGCAATAGTGTTCAACACTTAAAAATAAAAATTCGGCAATAGGTAAAAAGACTGAAATGCAACAAACAAAACAAAAATGTTTCGTAATTAGTAATATGTTCTATTTTCCTTATATTCGTTGTTGATTTTATATTGAATTTAAGTAATAAACATTTAAAAAAAAATCTTAGAACATAGGTTTAGTTAGATTAAAAATAAAATACACTAGTTGTTGCAGAAAATTGGCCATGGATTCATAATAAAAATTTTAACTTTCAACTGCAAAACAACACTTTTTTCCGAAAACCTGTTTTCCGTAAACAAATGTAAAAACTTATTTTTCTCAAAAACTATTCAACATTTTGTATACTATGTAGTGACTAAAAACACTCAAAATCAAGCGAATAATTAGAAGTTTTAAAAATATTCATAGCATTTCATTTGAAAAAATAAAGTGGGCTACTGTCCTGCCACAACGGAACACCATGTATATATAAAAATACCATAAATAAAATATATACTTACTGTCGTACGTCATTGAGATAAGGTCTTTGAATTTCATATTCTAGTTTTAGTTCTTCTCATTCTAATCGTACAAAAGGTATTTTCTAAACTGACGATTTTTCAGAAAATTAAGGAGAAGCTAGCGGCGGATTAGCATCAAACGAGCGTCCAAGGATTTTAATTCATTAATTTGCTAAGAACCACGTTTTTAGTGTCGTAGTTTTAGTTTTTAGAATATCGCAGGTGTTTCCGGGTTTTAGACCGTCGAGTTTGATATAGTTTAATCTCTCGACGATTCCAGCAATCTTCGGGAGACGTAGACCTTTACTCGATTAACTAGTTTACCATAGCCAATAGCGAACTCAATAAGCTTAAACAACTAATGATAATGACGGTCTAAGACTCCGATAGACCAGCAACATACTTATGTTATTAGAAACCAATAAATCGTGTTGGTATACAGATTTCGTATTCATTTAATCGGTCCCTAAGAGTTTTGGTTAGTTTATTATTCAAATTTTGAAGGCTAGTGCGCAACGAAATGCGCCAAAATCAATCCTAGATTAAACTTCTGAGCTTGTGAAAATTTGTACTGTGATTACATTCAATTTCAATCACTTTATTTGTTAGTACCGTTACATTACTTTTCTTTTATTATAATAGAGTGATGATTTCTAAGTCAAAAAAATATACAGTAAAACCTCTGTAGGGTCGATGGGTTTGCCATGTGACGATAGATAAGATTATAGAAAAGGTCCCCGAGAAAATTATATAGAATATTTTTTAAGTTGGGGTTTTAACATGACTTTTTTGACGTCTCAAATAACATTTTCTCGAAAACGCAAAAAGAAAATAGATATTGCTAAATAAAGAAATTCAATAAGTCCCTATTTTCTAAATCTAACAAAAAGTAATTGTAAATTGTGAAATTGTAAATGAATGCTTCTCTACAGGTGGCTTTCCAATTGCTGTAAAAGTGTTTAACAGTTAAGCTCTAAAGAAGCCAACGGGATGAATGGCTAAACGTTAGCAAGTTCGACTTAACCACAACCGACGCATAAAGAATCCAGAAGTTTTGTAAATGGTATTACAGTAGTCTGTGGAAGTTTCTTTAAAAAAGAATTAACTATAGACCAGTTCCTATACTCTCTTCGTTTCCCAACTTTGTAGAAAAATGCATTTACAAAAGACGTCGATATGATTTTAGACCCAACAATTGGTCATGATTCTGGAAGGAGTTGACAAAAACGACATTTTTTGAACAAGTACGAGTTAAGAGGGATAGATTTTTTACAATCTTAAAATTCTTTTAGAAAACAGTTTATTAGTATATCAAGTAACAACAAAACCTACATTTACTAACAGTTTCAGTCAAGCTCTGAAAAAACCAACATTGCCGATAATTGGCGAAACGTTAGCTAGTTCAACCCAACAAAACCGACGCAAGAGTCCAGAAGTTTTATTAAAAGTATTACAATAGACTGTGGGGGTTTCTTTCAAAAATTAACAAACCGTACACCTCCAATGAGACCAAGGCGTACCGCAGGGTAGCCTATGTGGTGGTATTGTGGCTGGAGTGAGTTTGCAGCTAGTTGTCCTGGTAGCAAGCCGTCTCGAGCATAAAAATGAGGAGTTAAAGTGTAATAAAGCGTTATATGTCAAGGGCGAACAGGGATGAATACCAATTGCTGAAAGAGAAAACCTGGGAAGTTCCAACTGAATGACTGGTATCAAAATTTAACGATACTTATGTATTAATTAAGAGGTTAATTAATAATAATGAATACTTAAAACTCAAATGCTTTTATAGCTTTAATTTCGATTTTAAAGGTTTTTTTTATTAATTTGTTATTTTAACCTAACCTATTGTTTGGACGTTGTCTGTATAATTATAAATAAATAAAGCAATGCGAATGAAAAATCATCAATCAAATGTAAGCATACTTGCGTATACCAACAGCATATAAACCAATTCGTTATTATTGGTAGCATGGACCATTTTAAACTCCAACCCAAGTAATAACCATGGTGCGTGCCATATGGGTACTGTGTTCATTTGTTAAGTCCTGTTTCATGGTAAAAACAAAACTCCAACTGAACAAACACCCTGTAGAAGAAAAACGTATAAAATGCATTTTATTGAATTATAACATGGATTTTCGATATTTTCCTTTCTATTTACTTGACGTATACTGATTTGAAATTTTAAAAAACGAGATTATGGTCATAATTATTTTTTTCCTTATTTTTCAATTTTTGTATTGTAAAAAGAAAATAAAGATTTAGCAAAAACTGGAGCAATTCTTCGTAAATCCCGGGTAGTACCATGAATTGTAAGCAAAAACAGATCCGAAATTAATTTTATATCAAGGGTAACACAGACATTATCGATCAGTGTTCCATATTTTTAAAGTTATAAAAGAGAACCGCACGTGTTATCCAACTTGCGGAAAACTAGGGAGAATGCTTAATAGTGCCAATCGGGAGATATTAGAGTTGTGTCAATCGATCAATCAATCAATAATTATACACCGCAATCCCTATTCTGAAATAATCAACATTATTTCAGATAAATTAAAATCCGAGAATCTGGAACCAAATTGAAAAATGCCACATTTTTATTATAACGGTCAAATTTTGTGAACAAATGTCGTTAACAGCCATGGGTTCTTCATTTGAGAAGACAGGCCTGGACTCTTTCTTCTTGGCCACTTAAACTCTTCTTAACAATAGAAAATCGACCTAACATTGGACCATTCTGTTTACAAAAAACCAACGCACGCAGACCGATACCTTAATGCACCCGGGTCACTGAACCCAGAATTATAACACTTTACATCTGCTCTTCTCTCTAATAACTTTCACATTAATGCGTTTCATCACAAAATAAACTTGACCACAACCTGACCACATGACGAGTCTACTTGTCCAAAAATCTCTCAATCTTCAATCCGTCAAGGACCAAATTCCGTTTGATATATCAGAAGTTTACAGCATTCCAAGCAAATACGGCAAAGAATACATTGGAGAGACAGTTCGACAAACATCAACTAGGCTCAAAGAACACGAAAAAACTTTAAGACTGCGACAAATAAACTGAACACCAAAATTTTATTCGATAAAACTAAAATTCTTGCATAAGCCACCAAACAATCTTAACCGCGACTCATTACCTTTCACCAATATGGGACAATGTTTATGCCCCTCCTTTAGTTCCGCACCCCTCAAACAATATATAAGCAGGTACAGAGTAGAATGCGAGATAGTTTCAGTTAAGCTCTGAAGGAGGAGGAATCCAGAAAAATTGTAAAGATTGTTATAGTAACCTGTGGAAGTTTCTTTGAAAAATTATCGCGGCTAACCACAGTCAAAATATCGCGTCAGAAAACCCATTGTAGCAAAAAAAGGAATATATTTTCAAATGAGTAAATCATCAAAATAAACCAATATTGTTGTGTTCTTCTTAGTTTGCTACTATGGTGACCATACTAGAAACGTTTTGTTTTATGTAATAGTGATAATCATTTTTAATAGAACAATGAAAAGCTAAACCGTGAATTAGAAAAAAAAAATAAAAAGTGCATATGAATTTTTTCATGTGCTCGTTAGGATAGTAAAAAATTAACTATCCAATAAAGTATAGACAAAAAAAACCTAATAAATGTCAACAATGATAAGTCTGAGGAAAAATATTTTAATGTCATTTTATTAAAAATAAAATAAAAATACAGTCAATATTTACCCAAAACCTGAAATATGTATTGACAACTATCAAATATTGAAAAATGGTTGTGATTACGGCTTTTTACAATTCTTTGCTCATTCTGTAATAAAGATAAAAAACTTCCTGTATATTGCAAATGAATCATTTATTTATTGATTTATTGTTTCAATACTTAACAATTGGCACCATAAACGCAGTAAGAGCTCAGTTTCGACTTTTCAAAAATCGAAGTGAACAAATATTAGGAATCACCATCAGAAACATCCTCCTTGGAGGAAGCTTCTCCATCGACATCCGAAGAAACGCTCATCAACGGTCGATCGGTCACCAAAATTCCCCTCTCCCACAGATCGCTGACCAACTGGATTTTAGTCACCGCGTCCTCCATGGGCAATTGCTCCACTTCGACAAACGCTGGGTAGACTTTCTGCAGCGCTTCCACGACTGAGCAAAAAGAGTCTTCCATTTCTAGCCACTGCTCTTCTTCACCGTGATACGTTTTGGAGTTTTCGGTGCAGTAGAAGAGCTTCGAAGCGGTGTCCGATTCTACCACAAGACGAACGGAATGGTAGCGTAGCAAACGGACCCTGGTTTCCAAACCTATTTCGACCCTGAAGGAATAAAGGCAAGCGTTATTTCTGTATACCATAAGCAACTCTATGCAACAAGCAAGATAAAGAGATATGAAGATGGTTAAATTAGAAAAAAGCTGCAAAATTCAAAGATTAATAACGTGCTGTTGAGAAAACAACAAAACTTCCATCATTTTCGCGAAGATACGCCAAAAAAACCGAGACCTGTCGATTTCGTTTTAATTTTTTTCTGGTGTTATTTAGAAGAAATATAGAAAAAAGTAACGGACACTTTCTCGTTGCTCTACAAGATAGCGTTCAAAGATTTAAAGTACGTTTCGTTTCGGCGAAATCATCAACTTTATTTTTACATTCGGTCTGTGAAAAAACTACACTACCTAGCATTTTTTATTACGAATACAAGGATGTACGATACAATATGATTTTACGTTGTTTAAATCACAAGAAAAGGTTTGTTTAGTTTTTGGATAATGTTTTCATAATGATTCCTTAAATGGGTTTTCTAGTTTTTGATATTTTTAATTATCGAAGCGTTAGTGAACTACTTCTAACAATAATTGAACTGAGGAGGCTTTTACTTGATGAAAATCCATTTATCAAAATAAATAAGAACTAAAATTTCAGATTTTCACGAAATTATATATTTTAACATGACAATTGTTTCGACAACACCGTGTCTTTATCAAATGATTTGATAAAGACACGGTGTTGTCGAAACAATTGTCATGTCAAAATATATAATTTCGTGAAAAAATGAAATTTTAGTTCTTATTTATTTTGACTTCTAACAATATCTATTCATTAAGTTAATCTTTTATAATCATTTCGAATGTGCGCGATTGACAATCCCCACTACATTGTCGCCAGGACTTTTTTGAGTGGACAAAATCCGAACACTTACTGTCTTACTCGAGAATACACATAAGGTAGGCCTATAACTTAATAAAATATAATTCGAGGGTTTGTTTCCATGTTTCTTAAATTTGCTTTATTCCTGTGAATTTATACTATTATTTCACCCGCTGTTTCAAAAAAGGGAAAAGAATAAACATTAAGTTTCTAAGAGCGTTTTTTTTTTTCAATTTTCAATGTTTTACAACCATACTAACTTCCACGAAGCTCCAATACAGGGTGCACCATTTCTGCAGAATGTTTGTTTATGGCTCAATTTTGATCTTTTTTTTATTGCATAGATTATACTGAAAGACGCCAAAGGTTTTCCTAAAACTAGATATGGTTAACTAAACGGTCTTTTCACGCTGTATTTAATTAAACAGGATGTTTAATTCTGATCTAATAATGCAAATAAAAGAAATTGTAACGGTGCCGTTTGTTTATAAGGAACTACCTTCTCGACGCGTTCAGCGTAACCTTCCAAAGTTCTGTGCGAGGTGGGTTCTTATTGTTTATGAACAGTGTGCATCTTGTTGGCTGATACCCTATACCCTACCACGCTTAGTTTTCCTACTGGACACTGAATTATGACCGTATGGTTTATCGCGCTGGCTCGTGGGTAACGTCTGTTTTGCCGGTAGCCTCGAATGCTATTGTCGGAAGAGAGAGATACAGTTAGTAACAATGGTTGTTTCCTTCCGACTTTGTTTGTCGGATCGAAAGTTAATAAAACAGTTGCGGACAGGGCTGCAGGCTCTCTGTGTTCCATCTTCGATTCACCGTTCGCTCAAGGCGCTCAAGAATCTAAGAAGGGGTTTTGACCTTCTAGAATCGTTTAGGCTTTACGGTGAATCTCGTTGTAGGAAAAACCTTGAATTTGAGGTAAGTCCTTCTTCCTACTGCTGTTCTTCCGCGGACAAGATTTACCCTGTATTTACGTATTTACTATTTAAGGGTTTTCCTTTTTTTTCTTTTGTGTTCCTTTTGTGCTTATGTAACCTGCCCCTATGTAACCTGTCAGGCCGTTGAATGTATCCTGTGGGTGGTACCTTAGCAGTATGTCAGCTGTCTGAACGATTATATTCTCTGAAGCCTCACGAAACCGGAGCGACGATAGCACAAGATAATAAACAAAGGTCAGACATATCGTTCGTTAGTCTCTCAAGTGGCTTCTCTCCATTCTGAGCCAGTCTACCTTTATGAGTAATTAACCTCTAACCGACCAACCACCAACGCGTATTTCATATATTTCAATTGCCAGACCTCAATGCAAACTAAGTGTAGTCCGAACCTTAATCTAGTTTGCTAAATAATAGATTAACCATTACATTTCACATTATATTTCTCTGTAAAAAGCCCATTAGCAATTTAATTAAGCGTAGACGAACCAAAATATAGTTCGTCAGTAACATATATGCTTGACACACACACACGCACACACGCACACACGCACACACGCACACACGCACACACGCACACAGGAGTAGGAGCTGGAATAAATTAACCCAGGACGAAAACAAACATTTCTATTCCAATACGTAAACTGGGAACGCTATTCCAAGGAGAGACCACCACACTAGAACACTGTGCAAGAGATGTAGCCACGAAAAAGATTCGTAACAAAACGATTTCGATCTACATCGACAGCCCAGCGGCAATAAAACCTATGCAATTCGGCAAAATAACATCCAAGTTAGTTTTGAATCAAATTTAACGAAGTATCTCGTCAAAACGCATGATTGGACCAGAACCCTTTTTATGGGGTCCGAACTCATTGCAAAAATCAGTCATCAAAAAATGGATGGAAAAAAATTTCGGGAAATGGTTTAAAGGCATGCCAGGAAAAAGCTAGTCCAAGAGGTCAATTGGCAAAATTTACAGCACACCTGCTAAGCTACAAATGAAAAGTTTACTGACAAGCCACTTCCGACTTAGGAAGTATCTGGTCCCTTAGGGCTAGTACAAGGAAATTTGAAGGCCAATTGAGTAGCTATCGAAGTGTAGAGTCTAATCAGAGAGACAATCAATATATAAGCATATAGCTATGGAGATAGTCACAATAGATCCTTTAGGTTCTAGTCTAAGTCTCCCAAATCTCGAATCTTGAATGTCAGACCAGGTTTTCTGTAGTATGGGACAAGGTCTACCAGACAAACTAACAAAAGACAAGCTGACAGACACAACTTGGATTTGGAACAAACAACAACATTGATTCCCCCTCAATAACAATCTTAGTAAGCTCTCTTACACGTTTTAACTTATGCATTTATATGGGTATAGAATAAATGAATAAATAAATATCCTAATAATGGTACTTGCCTGTTAAACACCCTGCCATTTCTCATATAATCTCCGTCATATCTTGAAGTATTAGCGGCCTCTTGTTGAGAACATAAGGGCGGCATGGCGTCGTGCATGAACTTTCTGCCTATTTGGTCGGCAGCGAGATCGACGTCGACGTAATCGATCAAGGTGCTCATTAAATCCCTCACTTTCGCCAAAATGTGCGTCCTTTTCTTTGAAAGAGAATTTTTGTTCACGTGACCCACGTGTTTTAGAAAATTCAGCGGCAAGCCACGCCTAGAAATTTAACGAAAAACCTTGAATACAACAACTTACCGTCGAAAAGGAACTTTTGAAATTGTACAGCGTGTTTGTTATATTTATATATAGGACGAAACTGTCGTAATGAGATGATAAAAACGGAATCTTTTTACGTAGAATCCAATGGTGGGCTAACATTGTTAGTAAAATATATAATTTTTAAGATGCAACTGAGGTAATGTTTTTTTTAATGCAAAACCATTTGTATCGAAATATAGAAATCTAACGTGCATCGTTTAGTCGATCTCAGGAGCAATTGAGGAATATCCTCTCAAATACCATTAAGACCCATGCCAGATATCACCAAAACTCCGAAAGGAATGATAATTTTACTGATACGATATTTCAATCATTTCACATAGACATTTTCTATAAATTGTTAGGAAAAGAAAGTTTCGCAGTATTTTTCCAGTTTTGTGACGTAGGTATATGAACATTTACTATGGTAGAATGACCCAAACAAAAGTATATACTCACCATTATTTAAAAATACAGTAATGAATGCCCAAAGACTTTCCAAATCGTTTAGAGTTTTGCCAGCGGGTTCTTAACTATCAAGATATTTTGGACAAAATTTTATGGTCTGACGTGGAAAACAACACATTTCTGTAGTACTGAGACTTCCAATATAGGTTTTCTATCAATGTTTGGGCGGGTATCATATATGATCCGTTAATAGGTCCTTTTATTTTGCCAAATATGAAAGATTATTCCCACACGTAATGGTTGTTTTTCATTGTTGTCTATCCAATAGGGAATTATGAATTCAACTTACTGGTTAATGTCATTTTATTTTTCATAAAAATAGCTTTCAAGTGAAAATTAACAAATAACAAACGTATCAATCGGGTTTCAAGACCTACTTTTCAAGTTATGATGAACAATAGTTAAGCACGCTGCACAGTATTTTTTGAAAATCCTCGGAAACTACGATCCTAGCGATATCAATCAGTGGACATTGAGAAAACATCAATAACACTGGAACACTCGTTGGCACTTCTTGCAATTCGATATATCAGTGAACTTTTTGCAAAGTTTGTTTTTCTAAAGGAATGTTAAAAATTTCACTGGATCGAAGATTGACTTGAGGTATATTTAAACTAACCAACGAGAGCACCTCAAAATTATTAATGTTAGAATTAATTATTTCATACAAAAATAGGATAACAGAGACCTTTCTTTTTTGTACTAAGCATGGTAGATGAAAGTGTTGCCGAGCCATTGGAATGTTGTTCACATGATTTCCATAATTTGACTCGAAATTATAAATTATATAAACTTATTTTGAATTCTAGATAAATGTAACTTACTTAAAACAAAAGAATTAAATATTAAAAATTGTAGCACGCAACCGATTTAGTAAGGGATGCTTGCAAAAAGAGTGAAACTGTGTTTAGAATTTTTCACAAAACCCACAGTATCTCAACAAAAAAATAATGCTACTCAGTTAGCTTTTGATAATCGGAATGATAATGAAAACATGACGATATCACAACAATTCTTTTAACCATTTGTCGGCAAATACGGTTTGTTTTTAATGTTAAAAAAATTGTGATTGCAAAAAATCTTATTTTTATCACTCAAAAACACATTTCTTCTATATTAATTTTTGGGTACATTTTTGTCAAACGACATGAACATATTCATTGACATGACCGTCAGAATTGTCAAACGTAAAAATCCAACCCGTGCGGTAATATTTCCGAAAACATCCGATTGCTTTCAAACCCTTGCGGTAATATTCCGGGAATGTTCCAAGTGGCTCGGATCCGTGGTGAAATGACACTTTGCATATGCTACCTCGGTATCTTACAGAAGGGAGTGGATTTATGAAAGAGTTATTGGTTCTTCCCTTGGATTTAATGTCTTTGGATACAGCCCGTACATTATAGTTCGGTAAAAAACGAGCAAACTCACCTAAATTCGACGTTTTCCATGGCCGCCTTTTTTAAAGCGGCCGGCACAATGTGTTCCAGCAAATCCGCGTAAGCAGTATGTTGATATACCGACACGGTGATATGCAAAGAGTGTTCTTCGTCGGTACGGCCTTCGTGAATCGTACCCCTAGGAAAGTATAGCATGTCACCGGCGTCGAGGGTGACCTCCATAAAAGGTCTCCCTAAATCTTCGGCTCTAAAATTGGGACTGGAATCCCTCGTCAACACGTCCTGGTCACTGTATAAAAATTTTTTAGAGAGTTTTGAACTTTACACTTTACAATCGCTTCCAACAAATCGATTTCAAACTATGTTAGAACTCTGGGATTATGTTGGTATTGCGGTTTTCAAAACAGAAGAAGAACAAGGAAGGGAAGATGGCTGCTAACGCTTGCTTACCCGGTAGAGTGAAACGTTATGAAACAAAAATTCAAGTGTGTCAATAGAGTATATCAGACTAAAAGGTTTAAGTGAGAGGTACAGCCGGAATTACTGCGTTAGGTCACAAATAAGTTTGTAGTTTGCAGGCGTGTACAATAGTGTACTTCAAAGTCAAGCAAGGACGAGATGCTTCGAGGATTGTACAAAGTAATCAATAATGTCAACAGGAGTCAAAACGGCTTCCACCATAGTAAGATCATGTATTAAGCATAAAATTTTTGTCACCCCCGTCAACTATTTTTCAACCACTGTAAAATATTAGTTGTAGTAGTTACTCGAACCTCAAGGTTGCAATTGCAGATGTCGGAATATCTGAGAATCCAGTGAATTTAGAACATACCTCTAGTTTTTCTGAACTTGAAACAGATGGAAATACCCTTAGTGATGTTGATGACTTAGATTTATCTAAGGATCTACTAAATTTTATCATCTAGACCTCGAAATAAAAAGAAGCACAAGAAATTAAAATCCCATATTTCCCGAAGCTTGAGAGAGAATTTATAGGCTATTTTGAACAAAGGCTTTTTATTGACTCATCCAAAGCAGTTTTTTCGCACAACAGAAATGTTCTTGCTTCTGTACCTGTTGCTCATTCTGTGCAAATGAAAGAATGCCACGAAAATCTGGAACTACTACTTGAGCAAATCAAATACAAGGAGTATAATTTGACGATTTAAGCGGACTAAAAAATTTGCAGTCAAGATATATACTAAATACCCGTTACCTGTGTGAGTGAGACAGTAGAAACAGACAGCAACATTGGGTGAAGAAGAAATGATCAAAAAGGGTTCATTTAAGTCCAGGATCAAAAAATATTCTTCACGAAAAATTCTCTTACAACCATTGCATATTAAATTAGGACTGATGAAGCAGTACGTTAAAAATTTAAATAAAGATTGAGCATCCATGTTGAGCATTTCCTGCTCACTCAGATGCAAAATTAAATGAACCAGTTTTTGTACGTCCACAAATAAGGCGATTAATGGAAGATCAAGACTTTGTCAATACCATGATAGAATCAGAAAAAGTTGCATGGGTTTAATTTACTGATGTTATAAAAGGTTTTCTAGGAGACAAGGGATATCCAAATTACAAATGCATTGTCGAAAACACGTTAGATAAATTTAGGGAAATGGGATGCAATAGGAGTATTAAACTACACTTTTTACACTCACATCTGGACTTTCTCAACAATCTTGGTACTACGAGTGAGGAGCAAAGCGAGAGATTCCACCAAGATATAAAAGAAATGGAACGCAGATATTAAGGTCGATGGAACGTTGCAATGATAGCAGATTACTGCTGGCCATTAAAAAGGGGGGATTCCAGGCACGGAATATACAAGAAAATTCACTAAACGAAGTTTCTCGGTCAAAAGGGAAATTATTTGTTATTAATTAAGATTTTTTAATTTGGTTTTTGTTCTACTAAAAAAATAATTTTTAAAACAACCTAAATGTTCATTTAATGTAGATAAAAAAACCTTATGTGATAGAGGAAAATGTCTATCAGAGTTAAATTAAGGAGACCTCAATTATACAGAATCAAACTCGAAATGAACTTTCAAATGTTTAATGCCTGTGTTATTAAGTTAATAATTTTTAATTATAAATTTTGGGAGTAGCTCCTATACCTATTCAAGGGACGTTGCTTTGGCATATTTTGATTTTGTCAGCCATAAAGAGTATTATTATTATCATAATTGCCCTAAAGCCTTAATACACAAAACTGGACATACTGTGGTTTGTACAACTTCCAATGCTTCCGGCCTTCCAGTTGAACAATGAAAGCTTCAATATCATCGAAATGGGGCGCGAATCCTTGACTTCTGGGAGGAGTTAGATACACGTTCGTTCCGACCATCGTGCCGAAATACTCTTGCAAAGCGGAAATGAGGAAATGGACTTTGTGATCGTAGGTTTGGGGATTGAGCACCCTTATACTGCAACCGTTTAGGTAAAAGTCCCACAAGGCCGATGGAACTGCCCTCCCTAAAAAACGACTCGTCTATTATACAGGGCACAGGCGGACAGAACAAAAAAATAATTTGGAAAGTTACGCAGGCGCGTGATATACATAACCTAAAATTATTTTCACCATAATTTTTAAAATATACCATGTAAATGTTAAGTTTTTTTAAGGGAATTCCTATAGAGCGTGCAAAACCAAAAGTGCTTTAGGGGTGATTGCTTGAGTTGGGTCAAAAGTCAACATTTAAGGAAATATCGCGCTACAAAAATGTCCGAACAGTAATGTTTTTATTTTTTATTTTAAATCCGGATTCTCCAGTAATCCGAACAAAATTTAAATATTCCTTATTTACATTGTGTATTCTATAATCTGGATTTCTTATGTCCGGATCATGTGTTCTTCGATAATTTCATATAACTTTTATGGTGTTGTCTAGGTGAATCCCCTCCTAATGATTAAAAAACCGCTAGGGATATTCCGATACTAGTAAATCCGAGTAGGTACTCGATACTTTTGATTCGAAGTATTTATAGCATAGAATCAATCTTGCGATACTTACTCGGTATCGAAACAAAAGTACTTTGTACTAAATCGAATCAGCCTCACCATTTAAAAAAAAAGCCGAACGCATCAGACAAACATAATCTCTATCTGATCTGTGGTGACGCGTTGTCTGGCGCCAGCCAAGCCGAACTCGTCCGACTTCACTCGACCGAGCCCGAGCCAAACGCCAGAAAGTTGCCCGCCCTTCATGTTTTTTCATTGTCAACCAACATAAATTGTCAAACATGCAAGAGATTGCTTACGAATAATTTTATTTAATGTAATAATCGGCTTATTATTCCAATGTTATCATAGAAGTTTTTGTTTAAAGTACGTGCTTAACGTGACGCAAATGTTTATAATAAAAGTTTTCTTTTCCTTCTTAATTTTGTTTTAATCATTGTCCTTCAACGTTTATTGTCAGTTTCCTTAAAATATACAAAAAAAAATAAAGTGCTAAAAGTATCGATATGAGTAAGTGTCGATACTTTAGGAGTATTTATTTGAGTAGCATCGAAAAAAGATTTGAGTACTATCGAAATGAGTAGACGAGTCGAGATTTTCTTAGAGGTTAAAAAGCATCAAAAAGAGCACACAAAACTAACAATAGCGAAAAAATATTTTAGAAAAATTAACAAATGGTGTTAGTGGCAAGGTATTGGCTATAAAATATTTAGTTGCTACGTCGACTATTTCGGATATAAAACAGAAATCTGGGCAAATAAAGAGGTGTGTATGTTGTATAGCTGCATGAATTTTTAAGTATGTAATGTAAATTTTGTTTTGAGAGTTTTGAAATGACTGAAAATCAGAAAATAAATATTTTTTGTTTTATTTTTTGACATTTTGGGTACAAACTATAAATTCTTAGGTGAGTGAATTGCTCTATGCTAATGTTATCGTCTTGTTTGTTACTTTGAACATTGTTTTTCTGCACCGGGCCGTAAGAAAACTCTGCGAAAAGGAGAATACCCTGAAATGGAAACTGAGTTATACGGGTGGTTTATTAAGCAGCGTGAAAAACATGCAATCATTAAATCCCATATTTTAGGAGAAAAGGCGATACTTTATGCAAAATATTATGGTGATAACAACTTTAACGCAAGGAGAGGTTGGGTAACCAAATTTAAAGAGACATACTATTTGTAACCTCAAAGTTAGTGGGGAACAATTATCTAAGTGGCCTAAGTGTTTTAAAGTCTTTTCTTCAGAAATTAACCAACAAAATTAGGGAGATGCAGGTGAAACCAAATCAGGTTTATAACACAGACGAATCAGCACTGTTCTGGAAAATGTTGCCAGATTGTACTTTGGTACATCATAAAGAGAATTCGGTACCTGGGAGGAAAGTGTCTAAGGAAAGAATAACTTTCGTTCCTTGTGCAAATGGCACTCTAAATAACATGAATTTAAGAGATACCATATTTCTGCTAGCTAGTTCATGGGATAAAGTAAGTCCTGATGTAATTCAGAGTTGTTGGAACAAAATATTTTTTCATCCACACCTTGATGAGTCAAACTCTGGTTGGGAGCCTTAAGATTTGATTCCATTGTCTTTACTTATTCAAAGATCTGAAACCGCCGGTAATGAACAAAGAGAATTGACCGAAATTAGAAATATACTACAGACTGTTGCTACTGAAAGTAATCCATTGCAAGAAACCGAGATCACCAAGTGAATTGATGGCGATGATGACCACTTACCGCTGTACCGCTGTATGTTTTGGCCATCTTAGGAACCATGAGAGAACACGCAATGCAAGTGAAACAATGCAGTATAAAACAAACAATTTTTTTTTAAATCCAGTCCTAATTGTTAGTCTTATTAAAATGCAGACCATTTATTCGAATTATTTTCGTTGTCGTTCTATGTCGATAGGTGTAAGAATTGCGTGCGTCTTGTGTATATTTTCTTCAAATTCCGTATTCTTAGGGTTTCTTTAAATATCTATTAACGTTTCGATCGTAATTTTGATATTTTTCAAAATATTCTTATTTTGTATACGTGTATATATAACAATTAATGCTACTTATGACTGAAAAAAATTCTATCGAGATGGGTTTTTTAGAAACTTTTTGTCTCCTGCAATTTTGTCATGATCTTAGTTTCCAAATGAAAAAGTAATATGTAAAATAAAAGAAAAGGTGTTTAGAATAAACACACAATTTCAATATAAGGAAACATATAAGAGGTTTCATAAAAAAAACAACTATATTTTCTTATGTGCCTATAGTCTTTCCCACTATGAGGATGCCCTATATATTAATTTAGTATTATTTTTCTATTAAGTATTAAAGAAGCAAATAGATTTTTACATAATATTGATATTAATTAATTTATTTTCCATACCTTCTTGATTCAAAACCTCCTTAACCCCATTTTCGTAATTCACGACGTCGACGTTTCTCGTATAGTAAAGCGGAAAATCCCTCAAAATTCTGTCGAGCCCATCGGTGGTAAGGATATCCTTATAGTAGTCCTTGTTGCTCCTCTCAATATGCAAAATCTCCTTCTCCCACACTTTTTCAAAAAAATCTCTGGGTTTCACAGGATACAAAAGCCATTTAAAAACTGCCAAACTAGTGGCTATAGGGTTATTTAAGGGACTACCAGAGTTTTTATCATAGTTTATTTGTTTCACTTTTTTAATTGGTACTAATAATGGCGGACTTCCATCCGCCAGTTCACTTACATTTTTAGCTGTATTAACACTAGGTATTTTAACACTGTCTATCACTATTACACGATTATTTTTGGCATTTCCATCTGAAGCACTATTAACCATGTTGTTAACCTTTTCAAAGTTTAAAACAGGCAAACTAGTTTCCATCAATAGGGGAGGGCTACATTCTGGATTCTTTAGCCTAGTGGCCTTCAATTTTTTTTTAATTTTGCTTATTGAAATTCCATCTATATTCGGTTTGGATTTATTTGTCTTTTTGTTGCTTAAATTCTTTGGTTCAACAGGGAGACTGTCCTTCCTACTGTCCTTAATTTTCTGTTTAATTTTGCCTGGTGATATTCCATTTAGTTTCGATTTTAGTTTATTTGCCTTCTTGTTTCCCAACTCCTTTTGTTCAATAAGGGGACCATCCTCCCTATTGTTCTTACATTCGGTTTTTATTTTGCCCGGTGATATTCCATTTAGTTTCGGCTTTAATTTATTTGCCTTCTTGGTTGCTAACTTCTTTTGTTTGATAAAGGGATTGTCCTCACTATCCTTACTATCCTTTTTAATTTTGCTAACTGATGGTCTATTTATTTTCGGCTTTAATTTATTTTCCTTGTGATCGTCATCACTTACATTGATGGATTTCAATTTTTTGGATGAAACGTGCTTCTTTAACAATTCGCGTTTTCTCTTCTTGATTGTGCTGGTTTTATGTTGACTTCGATAAATCTCGAAGGCCGATACTTCTTCCATGTTAAAAAATAGCTGATTACATTAAAGTAAATCAGCCGGTCCACAAGTCATGCGGTGAATTTAAATTTTGAACATGTAGTCACAGGTTAACTTGACATGACAGGAAATAATGTTGCATAGAAGGAATCTTCTTCTTTATGTACGTTTGATATGGGGTAAGTTCGATAAGGCCAACGACGGCCTCCGAAGGAGAGCTCTTCGCCTGTTAAAATTCAAACACTATGTCCATTAATTCTATAGCAAGCTGAAATAAATAACAAAAACCAAGAAAAGTTGCATTAGAGATATACATCCGCGACATAACTTATTTCGGAATAAGTTTCGTACGTAATTTAAATAGAACAGAATAGTTTAACTACCTGAAAGGTAAATTTCTATTATCTGAACAATAAAACTAATACTACACCTTTGAATTGAAGGTACATTGATTATATGATCGTTTCTAACCAAATACAAAATCAAAATAAAAACTAAAGCACGGAAGACACGATGCAATTTATACATATTTTTTATCAAATACGTATTTACCGCGGATATAATAACTTGTGGATTGATAAGGAATGTCCATAACTTCAAAACTAAAAGCGAGAAAAATGGGGATGTTTGTATGAAGTGCTGAATATAATCCAATAAACTAAATATGTTTATTAATTTTTATTCTGTAAAACTAATTTGTGCGCAATTCTCGTATCTTTAGCGCCATTTTGTGTATTGTCAATGTTGATCCGAACTAATTTCTGTTGCATATTTAGAATCACGGGAGTAACAGTAAAAGATAAATCATAATCGTAAGTCGCCGAGTTGTCATAGCAATCTTGGCTAATGGAAGTAACGGAGAGAGAGAGGACCTTAGTATTCATTGTTTAGTATATTCTGTATGTTCTCTAGTGCAGAAAAATTTGTATCGTTTGTGTGTTTAATTCAGTTTTAGTGTGACGAAATGGATAAAAGAATAATTGAAAGGATAAAAAAGTATTATGAAACACTCGTGGACGAAAGGGATATTTTTCTAGAAACATCGGACAAATTATTAAAAAATGTAGGTACTATGCAATATTTGTTAGTGTTTCCTAAATATGGTAAATAAAAAGCAATCATTTTCTCATTTTTTTATGAGCAAAATTATATACGGATACTGAGTCGGCAGTTTTTCTCGTATTTATTTTATGATTCGCAAAACTTTATGGAAAATTGCTAATGCTTGTTATCATTTAGATATTGCAACTCGTGGAGTTACCAAACTTTCACCCAAACGGCGGTAAATTTCTAAGTGGGCAGGTACTGGAATACGAAATGAAAGTTCTGAAGCTATTTAGTGAGATCAATGTTTCACTTCTGAATTTCCTTCACACTGAAATCATTCCAACACTGTGCGGGACAAATTATTCTCGGGGACAAGAAGACGCCTGTCAAGATCTTGGTGATTACTTAAAAGTGACCGTAAATTCAGAATTTCCTATTTTCGTCTCGTCCAAGGAAGGAGCTCCGAAACTGAACAACTGTGAGGTTCAGAATGGTTCCTATGCAAAAAAACCATTGGACAATGACCTGCTAAAGATAATATGTGCCAATTTGACAACCGGAACTCAAACCAACCTTGAAAAACCGGAAACTAGTGGAGAAAATGATTCTCTCATTTTGTCTCAATTTTCCGAGAGTGAACCAACTTCGTCAAGTTCCATGAGTTATCAGCATCCCATTACAAAATTTCAATATTTGACAAACCAAATGCCGGAAGGATACGAAATACCCAACGATGTTTTGGTTGTTAAGGAATACCTTAAAGAATTGAACTCCAAACACGGTCTTGATGATAATGTAATCAGTGAGATGAAACGGGAATTCGGCAAAACTATTCCTAGTTTAAATTATGAGTATGAGATGCCAGTGAGGGAGACGGCCAAGTGCAGTGCGGGAGGACCGAGCTTTTCCAAAGTTGTGCCAGGTATGTTAAAGTGATAGTCTCGAGGGGTTAACCACTGTGGTAAAAATTATGACAGTATTGTGGAAATCAGTGAAATTCATGCCATTCAATTTAAGTTCATTAAATTAAATTAAATTCTTTATTAATTAGTTCCAAGCACTGTTATGAAGAATGAAAGAGATAGACAGAAAATAATTTTATTATAAACAAATTGACTAACACACAGCAGGAAATGATACACATATTAATGAAAAACAAAACAGGTAATAATTCCAAATATTTGGTATGCCATATAAATGATAAATGGGATCCATGATAAAAATTAAGATCAGTATTGGACAGGTCAAAACAATCTTTCAAAAACTTAAAAAATTTATTACAAACAATGATGGAGATTGATAAAGTGATATGTATAGTCTTCTCTAGGGTGTGAAAATGCAGACCCTTAAGGCATTGTCATAAACAAACTCCAAGCATTTGAAATGTGGGTGCTTCAAAGAATACTGAAGAAGGATAGGATGACAACTTTATTTGTCCAGCAAGTTTTGATTAGCGTGAGTTATTTGACCACATCAAAAAGAGGACAATTTGTATTCACCTTATACAAGGTGAATGCTATTCATTTCACTTCTTCCGTTAGATCATTTTTTGTTGCAAACTATACATTTGTCTTGGTAGGTTTCAACTATCAGTTTAACTTTGTCACAACTTTCTTTAGTAACAACAGCCTAGTCTTCCTCCTATTTTTCTACCAAAGTGTCCTCAAAATTCACTTCCGTACTGGCTGGATTAGTTATAGAGATTTTTTCCGCCATACTCGTTCACATTAACTTTTTTACGTGTTTTTTAAAGTTCCTCTTGATACCTTATAGTTTCATATTAAAACGTTTTTTATGAAAACATTGGTGTATTTGTTAAAAAAGGTCCAAAAAAGATATTTTTAATTTTTAATCAAATTTAAACTTACTTTAAAGACTCCCGTAACCCGAAACGAATAAAAAGCAAATTTCGTATGTCATTATGCTGGTCATCATGTATTTACTTCTAATAGATACAGAGGGTTCAAATTAAATAATAACATTAATAATAATATTTTATTACCAACCAAATCATGATACAATAATGACACAGCAACGTCACACAGTGAGATGAATAATTTTACATAAGCAACACAAGGTTACGTTTAAACTACAATTAAAATGGAACTTCAATTACACTTACATTTCGAAATTAAAATTTTAGAAACGTTTGTCAAGAAGCCATAAATTCTTTTTTAAGACTATGTATTATTCATGTTATAATAAACCAATTCCGTCGATCACCTATTCCAAACTAAAAAAATTCTTCGCGAACTATCAACGGCCATTTTGGCTGCCCTAAGATTGTCCTATACCTTATCTCAACACTGAGGAAAGTAAAATAGAAAAAGTGTTTGACCGTAAGTATAAATTTTATTTCTGGCATTTTTATGTACGCAGAGTTTTTTGCAGTGACAGGTATCGTTATGGAATTGACATTACAAACATTTTGATCAAATTTGACTAGTCAATTAAGAAGTGGCCAATCAACCAATCTCAACACTATTTATAGGACAGTTGTTTTTTGTTAATTTAATGCTATGAATATTTTTAAAAATCTAATCATTCTCTTGATTTTTTTTTATCATATACCATACGAAATTTTGGGCAGTTTTGGAAAAACGTGTTTTTACACTTGAAAACTAAAATTGAAAATTTTTATTATGGATCCGTGGAAGTGGTTGATATTTAATGCTTTGATATATCTATCGAAAAATGTTAATTCTAATTTTTTTTTTAATGGAACACCCTCTATTTAGCACTTTTATTGATTTAATTCTGTATATTCTTTTTTTACAAAAATTGATAGTTTAGAAGTTATGGCCAGTTTTCTGCTACAACTCGCGTATTTTGTTTTAAATTTAACTAAATCTGTATATAATCTAATTCTATCTCTCCTATCTCATTTTTTTTAAACAGTAATTACTTCAGCTATTATCTTGATTCGGGTTTAAAGGCCGTCGTCGATTGAAATTACTTCCTAACGTTTCGCTAGCACGAGTGGCGAGCTTCTTCAGAGGTCCTTCCATTTCCGATGTTGGACGTAGACTGACGATTTTTCCTGCGCAGGTTGTATTTATGCCGATTGGTGGTGGGCGGGGTTTGTTCCGCTTCGGTTGGTCTCGGGATATCGATCGGTACTGCTCGGGCGTTCCTAAGGATCGGGTTCCAGATTCTGTTGAGTCTAAGGGTCTCCTCCTTTCGGTTGAAATTGTGTGGGTGTTTTTGTATCTCAATGGCTTCCCTGACTAGTCTGTTGTGATAGCCGTTGACCGATGCTAGTAACTTACAGCTCTCAAAGTGTATCCTGTGTTCCCCGCTGCCCAGTGCGTGTTCAGCTACTGCAGACTTCTCTGTATGTCCTAGCCTGCAGCTTGCTTTATGCTCCTTAAGTCTCGTTCCCATTGATCTTTTGGTAGTCCCGATGTAGACCTTTCCGCATGAACACGGAATGCAGTAGACTCCTGCAGCTGAAAGTGAGCCCCTCCTGTCCTTCGCTGACCTGATGGTCTGCTGGATCTTCTTTGTAGGCTTAAATATTGTTTTGATGTCGTGTCTTTTCAATACTCTGCCAATCCTGTCTTTGACACTCGGAATATACGGCAGATATGCGTGGGAGGTGGAGGGTCGTTGTTCGGGATCCCAAGATCTTGATGTTCTTGAGTTCATTGATCTCTCGATCTCCCTCTTGCTGTAGCCATTTGCCTCGAACGCAGTTTTTAGGTGTTCAAGTTCCATCTGGAGGTTCTCCGGTTCGCAAATCCTTCGGGCTCGTTCTGTCAGGGTTCTGATAACCCCATACTTTTGACTTGGGTGATGGTTGGATAGAGCATGCAGGTATCTGTCCGTATGGGTTGGTTTTCTGTAAACTGTGTGGCCCAGCTTCTTACCTCGCTTCCTCACTAGTACGTCCAAGAATGCAAGTTGTTGGTCATTTTCAGTCTCCATAGTAAACTGGATGCTGGGATGCTGACTGTTGAGATGCTGCAGAAAGTTGTTGAGCTTGTCCATACCATGTTTCCAAATCACGAAGGTGTCATCCACGTACCGGAACCACGTTGCTGGCTTGTACTCTGAGATCTCGATCGCTTTTTCCTCAAAGTGTTCCATAAATAAGTTGGCTATAACCGGACTTAGTGGGCTTCCCATTGCCACTCCGTCCACCTGTTCGTAGAAGTTTCCCTTCCACACGAAATAGCTACCAGTCAGACAGACTTCAAAAAGTTTGCAAATATCGACAAGAAATATCCTGTTCACCAGGTCCAAGCAACTCTTCAGAGGTACTTTGGTAAACAGTGAGACGACGTCGAAGCTCACAAGGATGTCGTTTTGTTCAATATTGCTATCTTGAATCTTGCGCACGAAGTCGGTGGAGTCCTTGATGTAACTGGTGCCGTGCCCTACGTGTGGTTGGAGCAGCGATGCCAAGTGCATAAAGCAAGCTGCAGGCTAGGACATACAGAGAAGTCTGCAGTAGCTGAACACGCACTGGGCAGCGGGGAACACAGGATACACTTTGAGAGCTGTAAGTTACTAGCATCGGTCAACGGCTATCACAACAGACTAGTCAGGGAAGCCATTGAGATACAAAAACACCCACACAATTTCAACCGAAAGGAGGAGACCCTTAGACTCAACCAAATCTGGAACCCGATCCTTAGGAATGCCCGAGCAGTACCGATCGATATCCCGAGACCAACCGAAGCGGAACAAGTCCCGCCTACCACCAATCGGCATAAATACAACCTGCGCAGGAGAAATCGTCAGTCTACGTCCAACATCGGAGATGGAAGGACCTCTGAAGAAGCTCGCCACTCGTGCTAGCGAAACGTTAGGAAGTAATTCCAATCGACGACGGCCTTTAAACCCGAATCAAGATAATAGCTTATCAACGGGCCGCGAAAGCCTTAACCAATTTATCAGTAATTACTTCAGTTTGATATAAAATAACAAGGAAAGCAAGTAAATAGAACTTATTACTTATTACAAAACATTTTCTAACCCCCGTAAACATGTATGGTTTCAATTTCTAGCATTTCTGACCGCGTGTTATTTTTACATTACATTTACATGAAAAAAAAAAGAACTAATAAAATTGGTATCTGGACAGAAATACACAGAAGAAAAAATGGCTTTTTAGAGTATTCAAGAGCGTCTAGATCTTCATGTTACAAAGAAATAATGGGTCCAGCTTTAGTCCTAACAAAATAGAGGTTGTTGTATCCTACAAGAATAATCTCAACACGACTTTCAAATATTTCAAAAAATCTGTTTACCGATGAGGCAATTTTCAAAACAGTTTGTATCTTCAACAGAAAAAATACTCATTACTGTGGTATCTCAAATGAAAATCGTGTAAAAGAAATTAAGAAACAGGGTCGGAGAAGTGTTTGTGTGTGGTGTGGCATTATAAGTGGTCGAATAGGCCCAATATTTTATGATTTGGTTCTGAAGGGTGAGAGATATTTAAATTGGTGGAAGAACTATATATTTTCATTAATTGATAATCTGCTGGACAATATTAAAGATAGTGTGCCATATCACACCCTAGTGCCTGTTAGAAATTGTTAAAATCGACATTTTCCATTTTGGATTCGTCTGTACGGGACCATGGATTGTCCAGCGAGGAGCAATGACTTGACACCCTTTAACTTTTTTTTTATGGGACTATTGCGATAATTGAAACCATATACCGCCTGGCTTACCAGACCTTAATCCGACGGGCTTCTTTTTTTGTGGGGCACTTAAAGTCTTTAGTATACGAAACACCTATAACAAATATCAATGATCTGCGACAAAAAATAATAAACTTTTTTAAAACATTTTTTTAATTGTAATGGGTGTTTTTTTTTCGATGTATAGAACTTTAAGTTGGCATTACTGTTCAAGATAGCGGACGATTTAACAGCTGTCAAGTGGCAAAGTATGGTTTGGCAATTCATG